ACGCTGGCGATGTTAAAAATATTATAAAAACATGCAGGAATGCTTGTTTTTTTTGGTCCCTTTAAGCCGCTAACCCTAACCCTAGTAATTTAAGTTTGATTAAGTCCCTTTCTGACTCGTGTATACCTTACGCCAGGGAATCCGAGCCATCAAGTTCTTCCCGCGCCATTAAGTATTCCCCGCGCCATGAAGTATATGTACCCCAAACGCGGATAGCTCATAGTCGTGCTTGCTGATCGCTCGGACTGCATCATTGCGGCCAAAGATGGTGCTCAAGCACCGCGGAAGCAGGACTCTGGCTGAAGTCGCCTCCTCGCAGAGCCAAGGTACCATCATTCTAGGACAATATTTCATACCGTCCAGCAATCCATCCGTGCTACTTACATTGACTGGTACCCGTAATTGTGATAAACGAGCTAGCTTGATCAGTTCGGTACACTATATATATATATATTCTACCTGTCCCACTATGCTGCCGTGCCATCCTTCCTGAAACTGCAGCTGCAGCATGAGGCAAGTGAGTGGCAGGTCCTCATTCCTCATGGACATGTTTCGGGGCCGCTTGAAGTGCGCGTTGAGGGATGTTTTCGGTGTCGCGCCTAGGACTTTCGACGTGCTTTGACATGACGCGTCATTAACGTTATGCGCGCAACCCGACCAGCGCGACCGAAAGCCACCGCTGTTAGTCTCTCACTCGCCTCCCGCCCTCGAGACTCTCACCAATACTCTCACCCGTCCAGTCCCAATAGCCGTCACTGTGAAGGCGAAGTCCGGCGCCGTGGGACGCGCAGCGGAGGATGCTCGGAAACCGCCGGCCGCGTGTAAGCGCGAACAGGATGCCAACCCCTAGACTCGATCTCCCACCTCCTCCATCGACGATTCTTTTCAGCGCAGTCTACCCAAAGATGGGTATGGGCTTGTGACCTCGCCGCGAAAGTGCGTACTGACTCATTGACTCATTATAGGGGCCTATGCCCGCACGAGCGGGGACTTGCTGTCAGTATGTATTTGAAATATCGTAGAGCGGCGCTGACCTTCATCCACGTTGCAGTCATACGACCGCGCACTGATGGCGGTCAAGTTGGTTCGGGCGCGACGATCTTTGCGGCAGCGCACAGGTTGGCAAATATATAAGGCTCCTGGGCGCCGACCCTCGCAGAGTTCCACCACTACGAACGATATCTATCCCCGCGCGCAGTGAACATGGTCAAGGCAAAGCGCGGTCTCAGCTTATGGCGATTCTTTACTGATAACTCTTTCTAGGATCTTCAGCTTGCAATTGCTCGTGCTGAGATGGAGCTCGCTGAGAAGCGTCTGGCCCTTCTCATGGCCCAGGTACGTGTAGAGTTACGCTATTGACGTCGTTCGTGCCGACAAGGGCTGATGTTGACGGTAATAGGGCTCTCCAGCGCTGAACGCGTCTCAAATCAACGGTGCGTCTGCGTTGGGCGATTTGGAGGTGAGTCGTCTTGACCTTCCCGGCCGATCAACCTGTTCGCTGAAGCGTAGTGGCTTATTCCGCAGGTCGAACCTGGCCGCGTCGAGGACAACGCGCCAGGCGGCGAGCCCGGTGAGGCTTCGGTGCACGAAAGTCATGATACCGCGGACGTTACGGAAGTTCTGCAAAGTACGCGGGACTCCAGCGTAGCTGAAGTGAGGCGCTCATTGCATTCTGGACATTCACATGCTAACCAACCTTCGTCTACTTCAGGATGCGAACTCCCTGCCGCCTGTGACCACTGCCCATCACGAACTGGCGCAGGTGCTCGACGACGCTGCAGGCGGTGCGCATACGGACGACAACGACGACGATGCGCACAGCGCAGCCGTGCCGGACGAAAATGACGAGGTGGAAGACCTCGTGCGGGACTCGGACGCTGACGCTGACGCCGACATGAGCCCGGTAACGGTGAAGATCGAAGCCGACAAAGCGGAGACGAGCTCGGCACCGACGAACGGGGACGACGAAGACGTCTTGCCCATCGGGCCGTTTATCGACCGTGTGCTGCGTTGGGCTGGTCTCGTATGGTCCGACGCTGAGACCAGGTCGGGTGTGGACTTCGACGCAGCGGCAGACCTGGCAACGGAGATGATGGGATTCGAAATCGTCAGCGTCCGCGGCGCTCAGGTGAGATCATCGCTACCTTGCGGTATGTGACACCACTGATAACGGCATAGGTTGCGTGCCGCGCGCCCCTCGACATTAGGTCCGCCAAACAATGGGCTTCGAAGCAGCGGATGGCGTCGAAAATTTACGCGACGGTCCCGGAGCCAAACTACACGCAGCTCGTCGCTCAGGCCTGGCGTCATATCCGTGAGCAGCCCTTCGAGGACGTCAAAAAGATGAGCGGTCGGTACGGGCTCATTGGCGTCGTACGCGCAATCTACCAGGCCAACGCCGTCGATTCGGACAAGCATGAGGACTTCCGCGTCGTCATGCTCGACGCAGCAGACGCCTTGCGGGCTATGCGCGCGACCATCGGGCTTGCACGCGACGCTCAGCCGGGGCCGGTCGCAGCGCCGACCGCAACGGCGTCGAGTACGCTGCTCCAAGTGCTGACGCAGCGCAACGCCGAGCAGGCAGCACAGGCTACGGAGGTCCTTGACCGCATGAGTAACGGCGACATCATCGAGATCGAGAGCGATGACGAAGAACCAGTACACGGTTCCAGGAAGGGCGGTAGCGGCAGTGGAGGCGGCAAGGCGAGGAATGTTCCTGCGAAGCGCAAGCCGACAAGTGCACCGGGGCCTCCGTCGAAGCCGAAGAAGCACAGGCTGTGAAGTACAGGAGGTATCATCTCAAGTCTGGATGTTCACGTGCGAAATGATCGTTCTTGCGCCGAATACATGTAAAGTAAATCTTGTAGCGAAATACTATGATATCCAGTCTCCGGTCTTAAGTTGCTGCGTCTCTTAAACTGGCAGCATTAAGTCAACCCCATCCCCTGGCAAAGTGCCAGATCTTCCTTTCGGGCGGTCGTGCTCTGTCGTGCTTGAGCGGTGCTCTGATGTGTACCTAGCCACGCGTGCGCTACACGAAGACGTCATGGACAGCCTCGGCGCTCGGATACAACGATGGTACCACTGTTCTGTCTTCGCAGTGAATCGAAGCCCGGACGAAGGAAGCAGCATTTAATGCCTCTCGTCGTCGGCTGCTGGTGGGTTTCCTGACATAACTAAGCAGACAGCAATCTTACTGATCATCCTGACCGTACAGTACGGATCTTGGGAATCTCGTTGATACGTATTACAAGCCACCAAGGTACGAGTACAGTGAGACCTTAACGAAAATCGATGGCACGCGCAGCTGAACACCCACGCGTCGTAGCCTCGTGCTACGAACGGCCGCGACGCGGCGGTGACGTGTTCGTCGCACGGTTTAACAGAGATAGAGTATCAAGCCTTGCGGTTTACCAATGTCCATGATAAACAATTATACACTATGTGTGGCAGCAAGTGAGACTGCGTTAATGATGACAGGATCTCTCACTTGTGGTGCACTCCGCAACCAGCACTACCGGTGTATCAAATGACTGCTCTCGTAGAGTCATTGAGATACTCACATATCGTCGTTCCTGTTCGCATCGTCCTGAGTTGTAGTCCAGCCTACCGCGCCAAGTGAGCTTTGGGAACCGAGTCGGACACCGAAAGCTTGGATACCTCGATAGCAGGGCCCGAAAGCACAAGGACATCACCATGAATGAGCGTGATGCGCAGTGCATGCCTCCTTGCCGTCGTCCGGAGACGCCTGTCCTTCTTCGCCGCCGCCTTCATTGGTCGTGGTGTATAGCTAACTTCTGTATCCGCGCCCAGGCATACAATGGCAACAATACCGCCAGCAGAAACACGAGGTAGATCCTCTGTCGCCTGTCAGCCGAGTGAGATCAAAATTTCACAACTATCGTAAGACAACGGGAGCGTACCCTAGACCCCTTCATATGTATCCACGTCTTGATGCTCAACTTCTTGATATTCAGGGTGCCTATCCCGTTGCCGTATATTTGCACGCGATTCTTGACGAATTCCTCTGCCTCCTTGAATGTCCCTAGCTCAGACTCTCCGCCATTTGTCTCGATAGCAGCGGGTGATAGAGGCGATGGAAACGTGGCGCACGCGAGAAACGCAAACTCGGTTTTTGCTCGCCGCAGTGGTATGCAGCGTTGGATCTTTGTGAAGAGGTGCGATGGTAAGAACTGATGTATGAGGATGTTGCTCGTGAATATGTGGGTAGCGGTCAAGTGTACGGCGGTGCCCTCCGGCGGGCGCGCATAGACGTCATCACAATCGGGAATGTCGTAAGTGCGGGTTGACATCCCTTTGAGCTTGGATACGCGCGTTGAGATGGCAGGCCACCATGAGCTATCGGCCATGGCAAGCACAGAAATACGAGAGGGGACCCACTCGGCGGCGACTGTCAGAAGGTGCGGACCGGATGGTGGATGAGAACAAGAAGCACTGCTACAGTCCTGGCGGACAAGGTATGTCTGAACATTGATGCGCCCACATCTTTGACAGTAAAAGCCGTGTGGGAAGTCACTCTCGCCGAGCAGAATAGTGTTGAACGATGTCAGGAGGCCGCGGGGTATGAGTGATGGAACGAGCTTGGCGTGAAGCTGCGCTTCGTCCTTCGGTCTAGGCGCCTGATTGCCGTCGGCCTCCGGCTCCCACCATGGGCGCTCGAGCGTCACCAACCAACGATCGTATACTATGCGATCCTCCTCTTCATCCCGAAGGAACAATTCGCCACCTGGGACCCAGTGAAGTTGAAAAGTCCACGATCTCCGCACGGTGGTTCCAGACGAGTTGGTGTCCAACATGAGAGTACTTTCCTGCTGTGATGTCAGCGCTCAGTGTCTGTTCCAGTAGGGTCAACACATACCGTCACACCATCGATCGTGAAAAGCCCCGCCCATAGACAACCAATCTCATCCTGCAAAAGCCAAGGCATGATGGGCGAATCCTTCGATACCAAAGGTGCGACAGGTCTTTTGTGCTCATGAGCGTCAAGCAATGTCTGAACTTCGGGCGGTGGAGGTGGATGTTCCATGGTACGCGTCGGTGTCTTCGCAGAAATGAGAGCATTTCTAGTTGCTGCGCTCTCTGCAGCCGAAGAGAAGGATGAGGAACTTGATGACGAGAGATCTATTGGAGACGCTTTGACCAGTAGCGCGGTTGATGAGTGGCTAGGGGAAATATCGCTAGGCAACACATCATCTAACTCCCCTGGCTGCGAGCACTGGGAGGAAAGGAGCTTCGCCCTCTCCAATACTGGTTTATACTCGTAAGACCTGCTTTCACGGTGAGTCACGTCCTTTAACTGCGAAGATAGCACTCACATGGTGAAACGTAGTTGTTGCCCTGACCAACGGTCACCGGGGTGAAGCCCTAAGTTGGACTGCTTGTCACCAGGGTCGAGAAATAGGAGTGTTGGCGCGTCTAATGCTCTATGCCGCACGCCGTACATAAAGCCCGATCGCCTATATACTGGCGCAGCGGCTTCTAGGTCTTCGAAGGACTGTAAACATGGTGTCAATACAACATGCCATACTCGATAGGTGAAGCACAGAGCAGACTTACGCTACACCACATCCGAGGAGCGACGGCGAGTCTTGTTCGTGAGGTCTGCACAGAACCTGTTAAAGGCAAAGACCGCACGGGGCCCCAGAGGGCTGATGGCGGTGAGAAGTGAGATGACGCGAAAGAGCAGTCGATAACGATACTCACTCGTTCTTGCTCCCTTCTTGATCTTGGGTGGGCGAGTGCCTGTAGGCTCTATGATAACTCGTCAGTACATTGAGATGGGTCAAGGTAGAACGGCGAACCAGGGAGTGGCACACCATTCGCGTCAAGCACTATCACTTTCCTGTAGCGAGGAGGCCCGGTACGCACTGAGGTCAGCGATGACTTCAATGGACCCGGGTCCGGTCCAGGATTATGCCCTACGAAGGCATCGGACCAAAGAAGAGAACTGTTGCCAATGCTCATATGACTCGCAGGTCCAGTGTACCGCTCTAACTAGGTATCAGCAAAGCTGCCAGAGTACGGCATTGACGAAATTCGCGCCTTTTGGGTCGCCAGTCTTCCTCCGCTTGCGGGAACGCGATTGCTCGACATGGACTGGCTTATTTGCTGAGCCCACGAACATGAACTCAATCCATCTAAGATTAGAGACAATCATAACGCACAAACTACAGAGGGAGAGAAGTCATGCGTGTGCATCAGAGTGGCGGGACGATCGACGTGAACGTGGGTTGTAGAGCCCATTGTCATGGCAGTGTAGGAAGGAGCGCGCAGACTTGCTACACGTGCATCAGTACAGGAAAATCGATAAGCAAAGTCAAGCACCATCTGCAGGATGCCACTTCTGGCCTGTAGGAACCGTGCCGCGCAATGTGTTTGTGGACCAGCCGCGGCACACATCACCAACATGACCTATCCTCCGCTCTGGACATTTATGAGGATCGCTACTTCAACGGGTACCATACCTAAGAAGCGCCCACAGCGCACGCACCGATTCCGTCTTCCGAATCCTCGCATTGGCGTGAAAGGGGTGTGGTCCTTGGCCTCTTGGTTGTCGAAGACCCTGAGAACCGTCATGTGTGCATACGGGCTTTAGTACAACAGGACACGTACCAGGCGAGATTGTAACTCGATTGAAGCAGTTTGAAGAGCCGACCGTGTCGACACTATATTGCACTTGTCCAGACGAGCTACCGGGCTGACTCTCGGGAGGTTGTGATGCGCTCGCGTATCGGAGACTTGTTGAAGGTTCCGCGCGGGCTGGCGAGACTGAGTCCGTAGCTGTTGATTGCAAGGATGACGGTAGGGGACCAGACAGTTGCGGCAGCACAAGTGGCCTCCGGTATATCCCGGATGTGCTTGACAATAATTCGGAGACCAGCATCACAGTCGGAGGCAAGCAAGGTCGACGTATCCTACTTCGCACGCTTTATCGGTGATCGCGAGGAGGACGATCACTTAACCAAAGGACACCAAGCGTCACCGCATGGGTCTAGACCAAAGACGACTGTGCTTAGCGCTGGGCGCTGAGCGCTGAGCGCTGAGCTTCGGCGCTTCGGGGCGCTTCTCCCACTTCTTCGCCGCAACCTCATCGTCGTGCTCGGGGACACCCAAAATCTCTGGAAACGCGCGCCAGCGCGGTGGCGCGGCGCGTAAATCCTNCTTCTCCCACTTCTTCGCCGCAACCTCATCGTCGTGCTCGGGGACACCCAAAATCTCTGGAAACGCGCGCCAGCGCGGTGGCGCGGCGCGTAAATCCTGGCGCGGTGGCGCGCTTGGCAAGGCGGCCGGGCCGCTGAGATGAACTCGAGTCGGCGCGCTCGCCGCTCGAGGTCGAAATTGATGGCGCGCCGCGCGAAATCGGGACCCACAACACAGTGTGGCCGCTGCACTGAGCGGCACAGCTGCGCTCGCACCCCGTATCGCTGCAATATGCCTAGTTGGCATGTTTGCTAGCGGCGCCAGGGGTGGCCACCCGAAAACGGGCCAGCGAGACTCGAGAACTCGCCCAATATCGCGGCGATGGCCTCCCCCTCCGCGCCAAACGAGTCGGCGCGATGGCTCGAAATCCGGAACGTGCGCGCCGCCAAGCCGCGCGGAATGTGAGCACGAGGCGATGCGCGCCGGAGCAGCGCGCCAAAGCGTTCGCGCTGGCGCGCGTTTCCAGAGATTTCGGGTTTTTTGCAAATTTTGGCACTGAAAAAAAGTCATGTGACGACGTTCGATCTCCTTTTTGCCCGATTCGGCGGCACCCTTCCGTTGATTCTTTCTCGCGACTCTCATCCACTTTGCGCGTGCTTCTCGCTTGTCGTAATGCGCGTTGTATGCGGAAAGCACCATGGTGGCTGTTTTGGAAATGCCCCTCCAGAGGGCGCCACGGTACATCTTGCACATCGTTGGCAAAGCACTTTGAACAGATTTCATCTTGCGGCCATTCAAGCACCGGTACGGAAGATGGCGGTATCACAAGTGACACACTCTGGGGCTCGAGTGACTGTCAATGCCCTCGTCGGGAGAGTATCAGAAGCATACCTCCCGGGTCAAGGGAGCCAAGTGAATGAGCCCATTGACGTGCGCTACGTACACTCAACTGCATACGCAATTTGCCTGGGACCAGGATTGCCCGCAGGGCCGTGCATCACTACTTCTTTCAATGATTCGCGTATCCTTTTTCTAGCAAGCAAGTGAGTCCTCTCGCAAGAATAATGCTTCTCCTAGGGCTTGCGATGATATTTGCATATGCACCGGAACCGGGACTCGCAGTATGGGGCGACGTCACGGAGTGTACTCTGAGAACTGCAAGTCACATGGGCGCGTTACAACGCGTGCGGCGTTACTCACCGGCCCGAATGCTTCCGAAGGTCGTCCGAGGACCAAATTCGACGAGCCACAGCCCACACTGTCACTTGCCACTTGCTCTCAAACGGTACACCCCGCCGTGTACTCTCACTCATTCTAGTACCCCACTTCCTACTGCATGAACTCCGCGTGAATTTCTACGGCCCGGCTTCTCATCCTTGCTAGAAGCTACCACAGCTAGCCGCTGTACTGCACTCCATGCTTGTCCGGGGGCAGACATGGGTATTTGCCCATATCCGGACAGTGTTCGCTATCCATGCGCTCCAGTATAAGGCGTAATACGGAACAGCCCGACGAACTGACCTGTGCGACGTTCGGACTGGTGACCGTGACCCTTTTCCCGTAGGCCCTCCGAATCCCGAATCCCGAGATAAGCATGGGCCGTCGTAGGGCGGAACAGTCCATAGGCTCTTGCGTTATCCCACCATGTCTGGCGCAACCAGGCGAATTGGCGTTGACGTTGGAGGAACGAATACGGATGGTGTACTACTCGACCCTACGAGCGTGCCAAATTCGCCCAATCGCGGTATCCTAGCTTGGTGCAAGACGCCAACCACTCCGAATCCGAGTGATGGCATTGAGACTTGCATCGCAAAGCTATTGAAGGACGCCAAAGTAGCGCTCGACGATGTCGCGAGCGTCTCCATCGGGACGACGGTGAGCTCTCAATCCACATACCGCTGAGAGCGTATCGCTGACGACAGTACAGCACTTCATCAACGCCGTCGTAGAGAAAGACAGCAATCGTCTTTCCCCAGTCGCTGTCATCCGTCTGTGTGGTCCCTTCTCTCGCGAGTGTTATCCCGGTATCGACTGGCCTGCCGATCTCGCATCTATCATCTGCCAATACTGCGGCTTCGTGGACGGTGGGCTCGAGGTTGACGGAGAAGTGCTTCGTGACGTGGTGGAGGCCCAGATTGAAGAGCAATGTAACATCATACGAGACAAGGGCATCCGGTCGATCGTTGTGAATGGTATCTTCTCACCGTCCGACTTCGTCGAGCAGCAGGAGGAGCGCGTAGGGGAATGGATCAGGAAATACTACCCAGAGGCAGATGTCGTACTCTCCAAACATGGTGCGCACTACGTACCTCTGCCCTATCGACCGTACTGACCTATCACCCAGTCGCAAACCTTGGCTTCATCGAGCGTGAGAATGCCGCAATACTCAACGCGTCTATCCTTCCCTTTGCGCGATCGACCATCGCCTCCTTCCAATATGCCATCCGCCGCCTCAAGTTACACTGCCCAGTATTCCTCACGCAGAATGACGGCACGCTTCTACCCGCTACGCAGGCTTCGCGCGTCCCAATCAGGACGTTCAACTCGGGCCCGACCAACTCAATGTGTGGCGCCGCTTTCCTCGTCAAGCAGTCTGCTGCCGATCCAGCGACTCGTCGCAGCCTTCTTGTTGCCGATATCGGTGGGACTACGACAGATGTTGGAGTCATCCTACCCAGCGGACTTCCTCGCCAAGCATCTGCTATCACGAACGTCTCTGGAGTGCGGATGAACTTCTCTTGTCCGGATGTGAAGAGGTACCGTATGCTACCTATCTATAACATACCGGTGGCTGACACACTGTGCAGCATTGGTCTTGGCGGAGGATCGGTTGTACGCAAGTCTTCACCCGACTCTGCGCTCACCATTGGACCGGATTCTGTTGGGCACAACATATCGACGCAAGCCCTCACTTTCGGTGGCGATGTAGCGACTACAACGGATTATGCCATCGCCTCCAGCCCGGTTGCTCTTGACATCGGAGATGCCGCTCGGATACCGGATAGCGTGCGCGAAAATGTGGCAGAGTTTAGAGTAGTACTCAAGACGATGCTTGAGGGTGTCATTGATGCCATGAAGACGAACGCGGACGACATCGATGTGTTGCTGGTCGGAGGGGTGCGTTCAGCCATCATTCTGCTTCTTTGTAACGCACCTAAGTCTTCTTACAGGGCGCAGTACTTGTCGAGGATGGCGTAATGCTCAAGGGTGCTGGCACTGTCGTGAAACCAGAATACTCGGGTGTCGCCAACGCTATAGGCGCAGGTTTGTCTCGCACTTCTTTGCTCTCACGTGTACTGACTCGTATATAGCTATCGCTCGAGTTTCCGGCACAGTGGACACGATCCTCTCAGTGGCTGACCGCACCACGAAGCAAGTCGTGGACTCTGTATCCGATATGGCGCGAGACAGGGCCGTCGAAAACGGCGCAATACGCGAAACGGTTGAGTTAGCCGAGATTGACGTCATACCAGTTCAGGTGAGATTGCATGAGTAACCGTCGTAGGCTGATGCTGACTGGCTTCAGTATGTTGCGAATAAAGTACGGGTGCTTGTGAAAGCCATTGGCGACTACGACTACTCCAGACCTGCGCCTCTAGCCGAACCTTTGGAAGACGATGCGCCGACTTCCCGCGCCCACGAGACCCCGGCAGCAAAGAACGCTGCACAACACTTGGCACCTTCCGCAACCGAAGCATACAAGACGCCCTCTGCCATCGAGAGCTATGTGCCGCACGTCACAGCCTCGCGCGAGTGGATTGTATCTGAACTTGATCTCGAGTGGCTGTCTACCGGATGCTACATTCTCGGCACCGGCGGAGGAGGAACTCCGTACCCGCACTTCGTAAGAGTCCGTGAGATGATGCGCAGAGGCAGCACTATCCGCATCATGAGCGTCGATGACTTGAAGGATGATGCCCTCGTCGCTTGCGGCGGCGGCAAGGGCAGCCCGACTGTGGGCATCGAGAAGTTGTCCGGCAACGAGTCCGCTGCTTCATTTCACCAAGCAAATCGATCGCTCATCTTCGTACAGGATGATGGAATCGCAGACTGTGCTCTATGAGCTCGTCGGCCGTCAACCGGATGCTGTGATGGCTCTTGAGATTGGCGGAGGCAATGGTTTACAAGGTCAGTCAACGCGAGTATGGTGGCTTCAACAAGCTCACTGAGTTCCGTATCATCAGGTCTCTTGCTGGGCGCCTCAGCGCATATGAACATACCCGTCGTAGACGTTGATTGGATGGGACGTGCCTATCCAGGTATGTCCTCAAGTACAGAGTGTAGGCGGGAAAGCGCTTATTCTAACGCTTAACTCGTTTAAGTGTCTTGGCAAATCACGCCTGTAGTCTGGGGCGGAGATGGCGCACAATTCATACCCCAAGTCATTGCGGACGGAAATGGGAATGTCATGGTATGTGGCTATTGACGCCGTCACATTTCAACCTTTACTCACTCTCGCGGCAGGTCTTCCACAAAGGAACTACTGAAAAGATGATCGAACGGGCTTTCCGTGCCGCTCTTGCGGAGATGGGCAGCCATGTTGCCTGTGCTAAGGGGCCGTATACGGGTGCTAAGGTCAGCTTCTATACGTGATGGCACATATGAGATCTATGAGCTTACCTTGGTCCCGCAGACGAAGGCGTACGGCGTACAACACACTCTCTCACTGGCCTGGCGTATCGGTCGTGCTGTTGCGCTGTGTCGAGCGCGCAATCAGATCGACGACATTGCGAATGTAATCATCGACTCAGTAGGCGGCTCTGAGACGGCTCGCCTTCTTTTCAAGTGAGTGATGAGTTGGGTATAAGGCGTGTACCATATGCTGACCATGACATGTAGAGGAAAGATCGTGGCTGTTGAGCGCAAGACTGTCAAAGGGCACGTCTACGGTGAAGCAGTCATTGCTGCACCCGACATTCCCGACAGCCCACAAGACGTCGGCGCTCAGCTGACCATCCCGTTCAAGAACGAGAACCTCATCGCGACTCGGAAAGATGCCTCTGGCACATCGACCGTCGTGGCCAGCGTGCCTGACCTCATCTGTGTCATTGACGCTGCGAACGGCGAAGCTATAGGCACTCCGGAGTACCGTTATGGTCTTCACATCCTTGTCATTGGTATCACCGCCTCGGACAAATGGACCTCGACGCAACGCGGGCTCGATATTGGCGGTCCCCGCGCATTTGGGTTCGACGTCGACTACAAGCCGTTGGGAGTGTTCAAGAAACCGCGAAGCGTCATAGACGAGTATGCTCCGGCCAAACCTGGGAATTAAGCACAGTCATATAGCCATACAATAGTATCAATTGTACTATCGCGGATGCCTATAAGAGGCTTGAATGTACGGGGTGACCTATATCCAACCGTGAGCAGGCTCCGCGTGTAAAGCCGCGTCCACCATTATCCGCGTTGCTTCTCACCACCATCCGCATGCAACTTACACGCCACCTCTGTTCTGATGCGTGTACATCTTGACGGATTACATGGGCCGTAGAGGCAGAGGTCATGAGCTGGGACTTGCCTCTTACAATCACCATGTCTCCCTCCAACGCTATTGTTGTCTACGACATCCCTGGGAATTGTTCTGAAGACCGAGTTTGGTCGCCAAACACAATCAAGATACGGTCCGCGCCTCCCTGCCCTTCAACAGAAAGAACAATATATGAACGACACGGTACCCATAGATATGTATTGAACCACAAGAAACTGCCCTATCGCGTCGAATGGGTCGAATTCCCAGACTTCGCTGCCGTCGCGCAGAAGCTCGGGGCGCCTCCCACAGGAAGGGGACGGAAAGGTCCGACGTTCAGTATCCCATTCATCTACGACCCTGCGACCAGCAAATACGTTTCCAACACCATCGACATCGCCCGGTATCTCGATGCGGCCTACCCGAACACACCTCCCGTCTTTCCCGCCGGCTCGGAGTCTCTCATCGCAGCCTTTGATGATCTTTGGCACGAGAAGGTGACGTAGTGATCAGCTGCGCCGCCGTTAGATCGTCTGCTGACCCTACACACTGTAGGGCGTCCCGCCTATGTTCCCTCTCATGGTCCCGTTCGTTCACAGCCAGCTCAATCCCGCAAGCCAACCGTACTTCAGGAAGACTCGGGAGGCCTTCATGAAAAAGCCGCTCGAGGAGCTCTGCACACCTGACAACGAGCCAGCGCTTCTGGCTGCATTCGAGAAGGCGCTTGGGCGCTTCGACGCGTACATGGGCGACCATTCCCCATTTGTAATGGGCAAAAACATAACCTACGCTGATGCCTCGATGGCGGGATGGTTGACATGGATGAAACGGGTCCGAGGCCCTGAGTCTCGAGCGTGGAAGGCTGTTGAGAGCTGGCAGGGTGGAAGGTGGAAGCGGCTCATGGAGGCCTTCGCAGCTCTGGAGCATTTTCCCGAGGGAGGGATCGTTGCGAAGTGAGTAGTAACAACTTGATATGCTGCCGCGATGCCGGGAACTTACACTCGTTCAGGCTTTAGTCTGCTCCGATTGTATGAATAGTGCGGACCCGTGTTGTATGTACCCGGTCATTGGTCCTGGTCTGTAATCGATGGCTCCGATTCTGTACATGGCTTCACTCGGAGTGAACAAACGTGGTCGTGACTATACGAGCTCGGCTCCGGCAAAGCCCCCAGCGCTCAATACGCTCTCTCCGTCAACTCTCATCCTAGCGCACGAGTTATACTCCGGTCTGTACCACACCATGGCTTCCGACGATGATGAATACGTCTTGATTCAGTACGTGGCCTTATCTGAGGACTGACTTGGTGCTGATATATACGATAGACCGTCTGCGCCGAGCGACGTCATGTCGGTGTCTACACTGTCCGATGGGCCACCTTCGCGTGAGGCGACACTTTCCCCATCCTCGACACCTCGCACAATATACGCGCTGGATGAGAGCATCCTTTCCACAATTTTTCTCGCGCTGGCCACAATAGACCGGCCGACTGTAGGATATGGCGGTTACAACGGCCTGGGCTTCGTCGTAGCCAGTCACGTCTGTCGAACCTGGAGGAACGTCATGCTTTCCTGTCCGGAGCTCTGGGTTGCCACCGTCTTCAGCTTCCCTCGTGAACGAGCCGTTCAGACGATTCTCGAGCGCACGCGAGATCTACCTATCGAAGTGGATCTCACCATTGCCCCTGCGCGATCGGCACCCTGGTGCACGTCCCTGTGCTTTAACCTATTGACTCGCATCAAGTCCCTCCGCATATCCGCGGCACGTGGCGCAATCTCCCGAGATGATTTCAACGAGTTCATACGCTCGGTGATTGCTACAGGCGCGCCGGTACTCCAGCTTCTGGACATCGTCCAACACAGCGCTCGAGTTCAGGACCAGTTTCCTGATCTCGAATTCTTCGCACCAAACCTTCGCACGCTGCGTCTTAGCGGCATCTTCTTCCCGTGCCTATCGACGGCGCTCACTTTCCTCTATCTCAAGATTGCGCGTCCCTTTTCCCAGCTTCACCACTCCGGTGCCAACGTGCTGGACGTCATACGCAACTCGATGGAGACGCTAGAGCATATCGTTGTTGAGATGCTTCCCGACTTGACTTCGCCAGGCCAGGAGGTCTCGTATGGCACGCTGGGAGAGGAGATACACCTCTTCAACGCTCAGAGTGTCTCCTACCGCGGACCTAACCTTGTACTTCTGCGACCAATTCATCTTCCCCCGGATGCCTTCGTATACCTATCGCTGGACACGCCCGTTATTCGTCTCGTCGAAGATGCGGAGGAAGTCCTTCTTGTTCGCATAGCCGCGCCGCTACTAACGGGCGGTACGTACGCGCTTTCCATCGGTGCGGAGATCGGTACCGCATACCTGTCAATCCAGTTTTTGCGCTCTGGCGCTGAAACACAGTGGGAAGACGCACTCAAGCCGACGATACGTGCGAGACGGGTGGCGAATGACCTTTACAACCATGGCTTACCCGACTCCGATATCATTCCCAAGGCAACCGACAGCGGCATCCTGGTAGAATGGCACCCTCCTCAGTCTGACGATGATCGCACGAGGGGCGAGCTAGTATACGTTCTTTTGGAGCTTGTTCGCCATGCCATAGGCGCGCGAATGCCGAACGAGAGCGGCTTTTTCGAACCTATCATGTCCCTCGACCTCTGCGTATCGGACGACCTCCTGGCCGCCGAATGGGCGGACTTGCTACAGAACTACGCGGCCGTCGATACCCTTCGCATGCATGCTGCGTCGACCAGCCTCCTCGCGGCGTTGGCGACACAAACGACCTCACTACTCCCGAATCTGGCCATCCTTGTGTTGGTTCTGGATGCGATGGATGATCGCGCTGGGCATCAGCGTGCTAAGACCCTGGCAGAGACATTGGAAAGACTTGTCCTCGGACACTTGGCGGCAGGCAGGGACAGCAGCATCGAATATATTCGGCTGGAGGGGAGACTCGATTCGAGGTTTTTCGCGGAGACCGTGAGAGAAAGGCTCAGTGTCTATGTGCCCAAAGTAGAGATAGCGCTTGTATGATGGCTGGGTGCCACTTGTGTATCCGAGCTCATGGTGTAGGCCATATTGTATTGAAGAGGCATGAAAAATGAGCATTATTACGTCGGGTCAAGCGGGCCGGGAGGCAGAAGCCGTGTCTCCGCGCCGTCGCTCTGCTTGCGGCAGGCAGCGCGCTCAAACGCAGACAGCCATCACCGGGCCCTCAGTACCTCATTGCTCCCGCCACTTCGCGTCCGGTTACGCTTTTCTTGAACTCCATAGTAGCTCACGTATCGATCAGCCTTGATATTTTAACCGTCATGCAAAAAATACCACCCATTCGGCGAGCTTGGCATTGAATGTTTGAACACCAGTCACCTCGATGGTCACGAACCTGTAGGGCGCTCCGTTCATCGCGGTCTGACCTCCGAACCGTCGCGCTGCTGCGCTGCTGCCATGCGGAAGTCAAAAGAGGTAGGCGCCCGCGCAACTCCCCAGCGGCAGTCCAGGCTAGGTCTATAATCCCGATGCGCTTCGACAATACTCACGGACCCTGCCCCATCCTACACCGGGACATGGACAGCGGGATCGAACTGGATGAAGAAGCTCCCGCTTCGGTGCTCATAGGACCCATGACTCGCAGACAGGCGCTTAGACGTCGCCACGTACTGGACACACTCCTCACACTCACTCTGAACTTGCACCTTGACCCAACGCAAGACTGCATCTTCGCGCGGTGGGCAACATGTCGTCCGACGATGAGGATTACGTGATCATTCAGTGAGTAACGACGAAAGACTCGATTACCCTATATGACACTGATGTACAAGCAAGATCTCCCTCGAGTGACATCATGTCCCTTCCGTCTCTGTCGAGCGTACCTTCGCGCACACCTACACCGACCCCAGTGCAGACGGTTTCACGCACAATACACGATCTCGAAGACAATGTCATGGCCACGATCTTCAGAGCTCTATCATCCGTTTGCAAGCCATTCGTCGCATACGGAGGTTACTATGATTTCGGCTTCATCCTGGCGAGTCACGTTTGCGTGCGCTGGAGGGTCATCATACTCGCCTGCCCGGACCTATGGACTGGGCACGTCTTCGCCTTTCCAAATCATCACGCCGTGCTCGCTATTCTGGAGCGAACGCGAAATCTACCCCTAGACGTCAAATTCACATTTGATTCTGCCTCACAACCAATGACTACCTGGCGCTCATCGCTCTGTCTCAACCTCCTTCCCCGCACTCGCACCCTCGAGTTTTCTATCATGCATGGCGCAGTCTCCCGCACAGACTTCCACGGGCTTTTGACCGCAATCGTCGCGCAGGGCGCTCCCACTTTGGAGAGCTTGACCATAGATCAGTTCGACCTTCGTGCCCCAGACCGATCATTATACGTCGAGCTCTTCGCGCCAAACTTGTGCTCATTGCGCCTCGATGGCATATTCTTCCCGTGTCTAAGCAGGACCTTGACTACCGTGCAAGTCAAGCTCGCAAGATCGCTGAGGAACGCCAACGACGTCCTGGGTGTCCTTCGTAGTGCAGCTGATACGCTGGAGAACGTCCTCATCGATGTCGTCCCTGATTATTATCCATACTCCGTCGCCCAATCGCATGCCTTTGAAGCGTTTAGGGAGGATGTCCACTTGCCTAATGCCAAGGTCATTGCATTTCGCGGCCGCGATGCAGGGTTGTTGGATTCGCTTCGCACTCCCCCAGAGACCTTCTTCTCTCTGTCATTGACGTCGGCTCTGGGCCATGTCGCTGAGGCGATGGATGACATCTTTCTCTCCCGTGTGAAGGATCTCTTGTCCTGGCAATGTCCATGCACAATATCGTTGAACACAGTACACGAGCCCGCGCGCATGTCCATACTCTCGCTGCCACCGGGCGGAGATGTGTGGCACGAACAAGCTCTGACACTTGTCGAGCGTTCGGTGGAGTTTGTCCATGGTCTTCACGATCATATGTCACATCGATCGACGCTCCCTACCCAGGCAGCCTATCCCGGCTTGTCCATCGAATGGCCTGATCACAGTATCGTGGGGCGCGGAGAGGGACAGCAGCTCGGTACGCTGCTGAATCCCATCCGGTTTGCTATCGAGAGCAGCGAGGGCAATCTCTTCCGGAGTGTCAGGTGCCTGGACATCTCTGTGCCGGACGACCTTCTAAGCACCGAATGGAAACAGTTACTGCAGGGGTTCACAGCTGTCGATACCCTCCGCATGCATATAGCCTCGACAATTCTACTTGCGACGCTCGCGACTCATACGAGCACCCTTCTACCAAATCTCACCACGCTTGTCGTAGTGCTCGACGGGATGGACGACTCGAAGGATCATATCGAATACCACCAGCCTAAACTCTCCGCGCAACGTCTGACTGGCCTTGTGATTGCGTATCTGGAAGCCGGCAGGGAGAACATCATTGAGTTTGTTCGGCTCGAAGGGAAGCCGGAATCAAGATTGTTTGCGGAGACGATGAGAGAAAGGCTCGGCGCGTATGTGCCTCGCGTGGAAGTCATGTTGGATTAGGGTTGTACTTCATGTATACAGCCACGCATACCGTACCTGTAAACCTGCAGTGACTTTCTACTGTAGATATCCTGAGCGTTTGAAACACGTTGATGCTCCGTGTGCGAGTCCGACGCATCGGCACTTCCGGGCCGGTAGCTGTGGGGAACGCAGCTTGACCTTGAGCGGCCACCACCACCGGACCGTCACTACTTGTACTTCTCATAGTAACCAAAGATTACTTCGCCGACCGAAAGAACCAGACTGCTTGGCATGCCGCAGCCTTTGAGCGACAAAGCCAAGGGGAAACAGCGTGCGGTCGAGTCTGTTCCCGCCCCGCCCGCGACTCGACAGCTCGTAATTCGCTTTACTGACGGGATACCCGACCTCGAACTTACTTTGGGCAAAGATGATTCAGTTCGGGGGTTGAAGGCCAGCGTGCGTTTTCTACCCTCACAGCACTATATCCATATTCTAATTAAACGAGTAGATTCGAGAGAAACGGCCACAGCTCCAGCAGCGACGGCTAAAGCTCATTCACGCCGGCCGCCTATTGACAGCAGAAATCAAACCGTTTGACTGGCTACAGTCTCTGGAGGACCGACAACGCCGCGCTTCTGCGCGAGATGAAGCCACGTCTGCGTCCACTGCACCGTCGGCTAGCGAGGACCACCAAACAGCCAGGGCTTCTGCGCCCTCGACCGTCCTTCCAACCGCATATTTGCATTGTTCCGTAGGTCCAGAAATAACTGCGGAGGAAGTAGAAGATAGGGAGGATGGGCAGGTGCGTTCACAGTCAATCTAACCGTTCACGCTCTCATTCGCTCCCGGTTGACAGACAACCCAGATCAGGCCTCTGCGAGGTTTTGATCGTCTGGCAGGCGCCGGCTTCTCCGAAGCAGACATAGCCAATTTCCGGCGCCAATTTCATGCGGGCGCGGCAGATTCCCTCGCACTTGCTGAGTTCGCGACTCAAGAAGAGTGTGCGCAGTTTGCATTACACTATTTATGAGGCGTGACATTGATATTTTCCTACAGATGAAGAATATGCGCGGACTCTCGAGGAGCAATGGATCGAGAGTATAGATAATGCTGGGCTCGGTTCTCCCTCCACAGACTCCAACGCCGTTCTACAAGGGGTACTATTGGGATTCTTTATGCCCTTCCTGCCCTTCTTCTACTTCGCATCTCCGAAGCTCCCCGTCTTTTGGTCTTCCGGAGACCCAGTTGAAACTCTCAACTCGGTCATCTTCTCGTGCGTCATCATCTTCACGAATGCCGCATACAACGCTGATAGGTAGCCGCAGGCGCAGGATGCAAATGGGTCTGGTAGTCGGCTTCGCGATCAACGTGTTACTTGGACTATGGCGTTACTTGTGGGGATCTATATAACGGACCACACCGCCCCGGTGTCGCTAGCATCTCTTGTCGTGCTTCTGTCTTGGTCTCCACTGCATAAGCCGTACTTGTCCTCCAATATTGGGATCTGCGCGACCCTGTGTGTGTGCATCTACTCGGTGTCGATACTCCGAGCCGCCGGGTTCAAGTGCGCTTCCGGGGGTACCGCATGCCCGTAAGGCGCGCAGCCGCCGGCGGAGCACATGGATCGACACGCCAATATACACTTCCCCATGAGGGAACATCCATATGCTACAGAAAGTGCCGCGCAGAACTGCGTTTGCTCAATGTTATTCCCATCTCAATTTGTCAACATCCCTGCGCTTACTTCTGCAAGTGAAGCCAAGATTGAACAGCACTCCCTCAAGTTGGATTCTGAGTGTAAGATTCTCAACTTGAACTCAATGTTTCGAATGCTCAGTGCTGCATTGTGGTTCAGCACCTGGATCGTCATGCGAACCGCAGTACATGCAGGCACGGCTTATGTTATCATCCGTCAGTACTTACCGAAGCAGTTTATTAGGGTACGTCGTAGAAGTTCCATCGAGTCCAGACACCGCTACGATACACGTATACCGCATGCGGACTCGCGAACCTTAAAGTTGTCCGGCGCTCGTGCACATGTGGCGTAATTCGCTTACGACGTTTACAGGATGCGGATCGGGGGAAGCGGACTTATAGGATGCCCGAGTTATATAAGTCTAGATGACAAGAGGACAGCGGCTCTCTCTCACTTGCCTCATCCCGCGAGTGTCCAGTGAACGGTTGTGAAGCATGGTCGACGATGCTATCGGGACTGAATCGAGAGGGTATGTTGCATCTGTTTCTCTCATCGGGCCGTGGATCAAAGGGCTCAATATTACTCCCTAGTTTTGGAGCGCCACACTCGCGACCGCCGCATCCACTTCGGGCTCTCTTAGACCGGCGTTTCAGAGAACACGACACGGACCACACGCTGGCTGTTGGATCATCTACGCAGAGAGCTGAACTTCGCGCTTCGCTCGAGTCCGACTTGCAGCAGCTTCTGGAGGTCTCTCAGCTTTACAAACGAGCTATAATCGCCAGCGCACCCATATCTCGCCTTCCTCCCGAAGTCCTATCTTCCATTTTCGAACGCTTGGCTTGGATATACCCTCCGGTAACTCCGCTGAACGCGATCGAGGGCGCAGATGCCTTAGAAAAGCCTGAGGCGGAGGAACCTCTCTACGTATACCCCAGCTGGGGACGGAGGGGCTCACTTGGATGGATCAAATGCTCGCACGTTTGTCGATCCTGGAGGTCGATCCTGCTCGACATGAGGAGTCTTTGGGCAAAGGTTGTTGGCATCCTGCCAGCCGCGATCCCAGAAACGCTCGAACGTGCAGGGAACCGACCCTTACATTTGACGCTACGCGAGACCTTGGAAAGGCGGATTCCCTATATCCCATGGACTAGCCTGGACAGTGTTGAAACTATCCGGTCCATACACATTGTCTTCACGCTGTCTGCGGATGACACAGACAAGTACGTTGAGCTGACCTATCTCCTGCATCACACGACCCATCCTATACTTGAAGAAGTAGACATTTTCGGGAACATGGCAATACACACAGAGTCATTCCACAGAGACCTTGCCGCTTCGCTAGACGCCCCGATGCTACGGACCTTGCGCTTGAACAACTTCTTCACGTTCTTCCGCTCATGTCCCCTCACTACTCTATCGCTCGCTTTCAATGAGTATCACGATGAAGCGGAACCCGAGATGCCTCTGCGTACTCTCCTCAAGGTGCTCCGTCGCGTGAGGGACACTCTAGAAGATCTCGAACTCCGCGACTGTTTCTCGCGAGCAAGTGTCGACGTATCCCGAGCGGCCGGACTTGCACCCATCGTCATGCCTCGACTCCGGCGCATGAGGCTCGTGGGACGAACGCCTGATTTGGACGCTCTGCTCAACTGCCTCGAAACCCCATCGGGATGCGCGACCTACTACCGTGCCGTCGACAAAGACACGGACGAAATGGACTTGCACTCGTGGACATTCGACTTGTTACGCCGCACGCTTGCTGATATGAAAGACACTCTCCCTGAGGGCCACATCGCCGGCATCCGTCTCCAACATGCTTGGGACGCAGACGAGGACCTCGACATCCACTCTTGGCGTGGACCTTACGCGGACTTCTGGTACACACCCACTGCGGATGTGCACCGTTACTCTACCCTGGAATGCTATCAGAGGTTCAGATGGTACTCGCCAAACCTCAACCTATTCCCCTTGACGCGGACGCTCTTCGACCCTGCTGGACCAAGTCAAGGGCGAGTTCTATCTGAAGTTCACATCCTACGCATCACGCATCGCCCGTCCTTCTACATGAGCGACTTCGAGCTCATGTGCGTCTCGCGGCAGTTGCCCAACGTCCGTGTCATCATCATGGACGCGCCGTGCATCATGATCTTCCTCAACACCGTCGGAGGTTGGCGTGGGATGCCCACTGAAGCCGCGCTCGGAGAAGACGCGGCACCAGTGTTGCTCTTTCCCGGCCTCGAGTCCGTCTGGATGACGAAGGGAGCATTTGAATACGATCCCATCTCATGCGAGCGCCTTGTCGCGCTCGTGCGCGAACGAGTCTCGCGGGCCGATGGTGCACAGGGCGGCGCTCCTCTGCTCCGGCGCGTAGTTGTCGATGCCGATGTGGCTTTGGCTGATCCCGAGAAGGAGAAATGGGCAGTTGAACAGCTGGGTGCCATGGTGGATCTGCAGTGGATGGCTTAGAGCATTATGGTTCGCGCAGCCAAATAGGCAACAGGGTTAATACGATAATCACAAAGATAGCTTCATTCACTATATATATACACGCTCGCACACAGATGGCGACATTCCGCACGTAGGTCGCGGATCCAGGCGCACGGCGCGCCGGCTATCCCCGAGGCCACTGCACGGGTTCCTGAGCTTCGCGGCCCGAGAGCCAAGTGACACTTCATACTGCCTCCTGTGATTTCGAGAGCTCGTCGCATAGCTCCGAGGGCACCAATAGTACCAGTAAAAATCTTCTGGAGCAATTTCAAACAACTATTTTGCATGACATCACAAAATATAACCTCTAGACGAGAAACTTAGGGGTGAGAAATCGTAGTATCCACTCACTGCAGTCAAGCATACATAGACAATAGTAGAATATATTCAAGTAACAAGTAATACAGGATGTCCTAGGTGATTGGGGGAACACAGCTAGCGCAGGGAGGCTACGAAGGCTGTGTGGTTGGCCTGTAAATGAGGTATTCCAAGGGAGCGGGAAGATGGAGTTGTGGGATTATGGCTTATACTACAGAAAGCGAGCATTACAATTTGGAAATATAGTACTGTGTTACAAGCGATTATCGGTGGAAGACGAGGAGGGTAAAGGTGGTAAAGGGGTAGGGCAGGTGGATGGGTGGCGAGCACTCTTGCAACCACGAGCTTAATAGGCAGTCAAACCTATTCTGTGTCAGCACATAGATACAGATTTGAAAGAGTACAACATACATAGTGGTCCTTCACCCCGATCTCTGGGTTCAGGACAGAGCTGAGCCTACTACACCACCTCCCCGCCCCAATCTCGGCCCTCAGTCCCTGCCGGGCTGGTTCCACCTTCTCAGGGGTCCAAAAAATCTAACCTGAAACTTCCACAGCGGCCTGTTGACGAGGATACGCGGAGGGGGGTGATGGCGATGGTGAGTGTCGGGAGCAAGCGACGGACGCGAGGAGCGCGTTCGTCACGCGGCAGCGCGCGCCGCGTCGTCGGCCCTCGGCCCATCAAACCGCCATCAAGGCACGTGCCGACCTACGTGCGGAATCTCAAGACTGCTCGCACACCGAGTCTCACCCGAGCCTACCGGGGGTTCATATGGTGGGAAAGGAAGCTCTCGTCCGAAGCACCCGGCGTGATGCGGTCGCCGGTCGTTTGCTTATAGCGCCCATTATCCCTCCGGCTCTCAACTCAGCCTTACATCACAGGCTCACCTTATTGCTGAGCCTTTAAAACAGCTGTACGGGTTGAACGCTTTGTAAGACACTGCCACCCAGAATGTTCACCCTACACCTCGACTGACGAGATACCATAGGGCAAAACCCCTACTGCAATGGCCGCACCCGCGCCCAACACGGGTCCGCTCGATATTCATATTGAAAACTACGTCTCAGGATCGTCTCGGGCTGAGCTGGAGGCACGGCTGTTGCAGCCCAATCGAGCACGAATACGATCAATCACAGTAGCTTCTAAAGGACGTAGTGTTGCGGAGGAGCTTGTCAATGTCATCGGTGGCTCGCCATTCCCTCGCTTGAGCACTCTCTCACTAGAGTGTGACTCAGATAGTCGCAGCGACTCAGAGGACTTAGGTGCTAGCGGCGATGAAGACGAAGACGTGGATGAAGACGAGGAAATGTACTCCGATCCAGATGATCAGCCCGTCGTGGCGGCTCCGCTTTCCATCGAGGCACCTGCTCTCACAGAGGCTTCTCTACGTAACATATACTTCCTATGGGGGAACACGTCGTTCCCACAGCTCAAGAATTTGAAGATCGACATCACTGGCTCACTACAGTCAGAGCAGCGTCCGTCGCATACCGACATTCGCGGCTGGTTAACTGGGATGCATTCCTTAGAACACCTTTACCTCGGCGACATGCTTCCACGTTATCCTGGCCTTACGCCGGAACCCCCCGCCAGGATTGATATCCCAGCCAGTTGTCGTACAGTCACACTCAGAGTCAGGGAACATTTCTGGGACTCGATGTCATTCATCCTCTCTCTTGCGTTGCCTCCAACGGCAGTCCTGAATATCATTCTGCCCTGCGACTACGACACCCAGCTCATAAGCCGTATCACCAGTCGCGGACCCCGTGCCGTCAGGATCCAAGGTTACGACTCCATCGAGGGAGACCGCGGCTGCGGTACTGTGAGCGTTATGCAGAATGCCGCAACTTGGTTGGCATCTCCTGCAGCAGTGCTGTCTTCGGCCATGATCCCTTCGACTCGAATCCGTTTCAGGATTCAAGCCATTGGCGAGGACGAGTTCGAGGCGTCTGAGACCCGTGATGAGGATGTACGGAGCTTTGCACAAAGCCTGCGCACGATCAACATTGGCCAGACGCAAGTTCTGCACCTGCAAGGCTTCACGAGTGAGTTTCGTGAGTCACTGCTTGTCGGCGACGAGGAGTTCGGAACGTACGAACCCCTCCTCCTAAGCGCTCAGAACTTGGAGGTTCTCGTGGTCTCCGGCCCTTTCGCGTATCGCGCATCCATGTTATACGACGTCTTGGCGGGAACGGGGCCGGTCCTCTGTCCCCGATTGCACACTCTTGTCGTCACAGAGGAGTTGTGGCCGGAGGAACACGACTCGTTTGAGAGGGAGATCAGCACGGCAATAGAGAACTCTCTCAAGGCGCGAAGGAATGCGGGACATGCCTTACACACGCTGATGCTACCTCGATCGTTGGAGAATCACGCACTTTGTGTAAGGATCAGAGAGTCTGAACTGGTCCACCTCGAGTTCTTTGACATGCTGGGAGGAGACTTGGAGGAATGGGACTGGCAAACATGGCCCCCGACTACGTAACGGTTGTATATTAATTACAATGAAAAGCATGTACCTTCGAATCTTATGTTGCAAACAACGTGCCGTCAAAACCCAGTTATATTGGTTGTAATGGCTGTTGAAATTATTGCCCGTTTAGCTCAGTGGTAGAGCGCGCCACTCGTAATGGTGAGGTCGGTTGTTCAATCCAGCCAATGGGCAGGTAATTTTTTCTCTCCCTCAACGGACTCGAGCCAGGATTTGCCATTTGCTCTTGCCACCACCAGTCGGGGCGCCTTTGCTGCCATGCCTGAACTTTTCCCAGAACTGAAATGATATACTTACTGGGATTCATACTTGCCGACGTTGACTTCCTCAAGTTTCCCTGATGGCACAGAACGATGATTTACTAGGCGAAGCCCGTGATTGCCGTAGGCTACGTAGGCGCTCACAGGGAAGCCGCTAGCCGGGAGTCGTCTTGCACCAACTCGAACCCGGATGGCGAACGCGATGGCGCAAATTGTCCTATATGATACTGTCGGTACGAAGATGCCGGATAAAGCTTGGTCGCCGAATGTATGTCGTACCCACCACTATGGACTGTGCGCAGCTGACAGCGTCGCATAGGTGTTTAAGATTCGGTGCGTTTTCGTCTGCAACTTCCTGGTGCTTGAGTCTGATGAATGCATATATAGCTTTGCGTTGAACTACAAGCAGCTACCATATCGCACGGAATGGGTTGAGACAGTCGACGTCCGAGCCACGGCGCAACGGATCGGGGCGCCACCCACAGGCAAGAAGCGCGATGGGACGCTAATCTATACTGTGCCAATCATCTTCTGCACCCATTGCAACCAACATGTCTCAAACTCGCTCGACATTGCCATTCATCTCGACCGCGCGTTCCCAGAGAAGCCGCGCCTCTTCGCACCCGGACTTGCCGACGAAGCGCTCGTGCGGGCTTGGGATGACCAGTGGAACCAGCTGGTCGGACCACACTTCTTTACAATTGGCGGTGCGCGTACGCATGCGCAGTTACCACCCCGCGCGGCAGCGTTTTTCAGGAAGACGCGCGAGGGCATCTTCAAGATGTCGCTGGAGGAGCAGACGAGTCCGGAAAGAGTTCAAGCTAGCTGGGCCGCTCTACGCAAGGGCCTGTCACGCATGGCGAAATACACACCGCCTGGGGAGACGTATTTTGCTGGTGGCGACACTCCGACGTACCCTGACTGCGTCATGGCAGCATACCTTGTCTGGATGAAGCGCATGTTCGGACGTGATTCTCCTGAGTGGCGAGAGATCGAAAGTTTCGACCAGGGGCGGTGGGCGCGGCTTATGGTGGCTTTCGAACAGTGGGAGTACACTGAGGATAATACCCCTGCAAAGGCTCGGTAAGTCGTATGGTTCATTTCGTCGACGTCGTGTCTAACGCGACTATAGGTTATGATACAGATACCCATGTGCTACACTCCTTTGTTCGAGCTGCTGAGACACCTCAATGATATGGTCCGCATGTTCACGTCTTCTTCGGCGCCTCGCAGTGAATTTCCGGTCTACATGCATTCGTGCCTCTCTCGTCGGTGTCCGGCATTATTTGTCGCCGTCGCCTTGAACTGCTCTCAGGTCTGCGAATCATGAGGAGGGACATGCGGCGATCCATGCTTCGCGCTGCGCCCATGCCAACATTCGGTGCCGATAACATCTTGCGAGCATCGCTGCCTGCCGATCGCCTGAAAGATACGGCCGATGCGTGTGATGTCACCGGCTATGACTGCTCCTCGCATCTCGTTTCCCCCACGTTCCCAAAGACCCACAGCACCGGGCGTGCGTGCGCGAACTCACACCTTTCTTGGTCTGGATGACAAGCTGTTCGGAAGCTGATGGAGTATGCTTCAAAGGCAGTGGGGCAGCTGTCATCTTCTGCCTGAGAGTGCAGCGGCGCACGAGAGGAGAAGACCAGAAGTGCGTTTGTGGCCAGGCTGGGTGTAAGGGCCGTCAACGCGTCAACCGTTATCTGAGCGCGTACTCGGAGAAGGGGGTCGCGTCAGACGAGTTGTCACAGATAACAATGGAAGCACAGTGGTAGGTCTGACGCGTTTATGGTGGGTCGAGGTGCCTTCTGATGCTTTGAGTGGTCACTTCAAGGGACGGCCCCTACACGCCTCCTGCACAGCACGCCATTTCCAGGCCGCCGACACAGCGCATGAACAGTCTCCGTGGCAGCAGGGGTCTTTGCACGCCGGGGCACATGAAGAGTTATTTGAAATGTTCAGCCATGTACGCCATGAAGGGAGCACAGGTCGGAGGCGGCTCGTTAGCTTTTGACGCAAGACATCCACTTCCGGTGCAGCTGCTCCCCCACGGTCGCGATGGAAGACGCAGAAGCCCAGTTAGTTCCTCGTTATCGACCTTTCTCCGGTGCTTGCTGGCTCGCAAGAAGCAGACCGCAGTAGTCCTGTTCTATCTTTGGCCTGTAAACCTGTCCATAATACCTGGAGCCGCGCACATGGGTAAGCTTGTTACGACGTACTCCTCCCACCGGCACCCCGCCTTGACGAACATGACGCTGCAATATATAAGGACTGCGCTCTCGAAAGCTCTCTGCATCCAATCCTCTCCAGCTCCATCTGATCCACCACCTTCACGCAAACAACCACCAGCCATGTCTACCGCTCGCAGTGTTCGCTTCGCTACCAACATCGCTACCGGCGGCGCAAAGGAGCTCCTTGCTCGCGACAAGAGCCGCGCTCAGAAGTTCCTCGCGGGTGTTCATCCCCACGGCCCTGTTGCCTTCCACAAGCAGGAACTTCGTCGTCGCAGCCACCACCACAAGACCAAGCCTACCAGCGGTAGCACCGGGACCGGTACTGGTACTGGCACTGGCACTGGCACCGGCAGCGACGCTGCGGGCGATACTATCGACGTCACTGATGCCGGTTCGTTTGTTCACGTCCTTATCGCGCACATGTGACTTACCCCGCATATTCTCCGCTTATAGCCGTCACGTACACGACCTCGGTCGGAGTGGGCAGCCCCGCTACCCAGTACACTCTGCTTATCGATACTGGTTCGAGCAACACTTGGGTCGGTGCCAACACTAAGTACGTCAAGACCAGCACGTCCAAGAGCACTGGCGACACGGTCGTACGTACTCTTTTCCTTTCTGCGGTTCTGCGATCATCGCTCATCGCCATCAACAGAACGTTAGCTACGGATCCGGCCAGTTCAGCGGCACTGAGTGTAAGCCAAAAGATGTCATCGTGTGTTGTCTCATGGAAGCTGACCGTAAGATGCAGACACCGACACGGTCACCCTCTCGTCCGACCTAGTCATCCAGAACCAGAGCATCGGCGTGGCCTCCTCGGCACAGGGCTTCAGCGATGTCGACGGTATCCTCGGGTAAGCCGCAATCTTGGTCGCAACTGTAACGCAGTGGCTGACGGGTGTCCCACTTCTAGTATCGGCCCCGTGGACCTGACATCTGGCACCGTCTCTCGCACGACCAATGTTCCGACTGTGACGGATAACCTGTTCAAGCAGGGCACGATCCCGACCGAGTCCATCGGTATCTCGTACGTTCCCACCACGAGCAGCACTGAGGTCGCAAACGGCGAGCTTGACTTCGGCGCCGTCGACACGAGCAAGATCTCCGGCGACGTCACCTATGTGCCGATCACCAGCACTTCCCCCGCGAGCAACTACTGGGGTATTGACCAGACCGTCAGCTATAACGGTCAGCAGATCCTCAGCTCTGCGGGCATTGTCGACACCGGCACCACGCTCGTGATGATCGCCACGGACGCCTTCCAGGCTTACCAGAAGGCGACCGGCGCCACGATGGACAGCACCACCGGTTTGCTCACCATCACTGAGGAGCAGTTCAATAACTTGCAGCCCCTCGTGTTCAACATCGGCGGCACGGACTTCCCTCTCTCCGCTAACGCCCAGATCTGGCCTCGTTCGCTCAACTCTACACTCGGCGGCGAGGAAGGCAAGATCTACCTTATCGTCGCGGACATGGGCTCGCAGTCGGGCCAGGGTCTTGACTTCATCAGTAAGTTCCCGCTTGTCCGCGCTGCTTCAATCCCGGTTTATGCTGACGCGACTGCGCCTACAGACGGGTTCACGTTCCTCCAGCGCTTCTACAGCGTCTACGACACGACCAACTCCCAGGTCGGCATCGCGCCGACGCCTAACACGGACGCGGAGACGAACTGAGCGCGCGCCTTCCTATACTTGAATCACGGACTACTCATTCTGAACGGACTACAGATGTAACGGGAGCGCAGATTCGCGCTCGCTTGTTACGGATTCTTGGACATGGACAATCTGACTGCGGATCATTACGAACCTTACGAGCATTGTGTACTTGCTACGAGATCAATAGAAACGAAGTTGTATGAGCCACGGAAATGGTGGAGGGTGAACTGAGGGAGAAGCACATTAGAGAGTTTACAGTTATCATGCGTGATTGGAGTCTCATAGGTGATTATGGACATTGTTATAGAAGACTAAATATCGCCCGCCTAGCTCAATCGGATAGAGCGTCAGACTCTTACCAGGCGGGTTCGATTATCTGAAGGCTGCGAGTTCGACCCTCGCGGTGGGCTAATCTCTTTTGCTATCGATTCCACGATTTTGTCTAACACGAGCTACGGCCCGTTCTTTCGCAAGACGCGGAAAAAAGCGCGCCGCGGCATTTTCACGTGAGTTTTTGAACGCACGATAACAGCCGACCCCGCTGCCGCACCAAATCCGGGATGATAGCAAGCTGCTAAGGTAGTCCGGGCTGTATTGAAATTGAGTTGATTACTTCGCACTACAGACATGACACAGGTTACAGAACATTGGCACGGAGAGGAGATGCAGTACACAGGGAAGAAGGAAAGGGTCCCGAAACAGTACCTTAGCGACGCGCGTGGCATCACGATCAAATATGCGAGCGTCCCGCTCGCCATGATGACACATGGTTGAACCTCTAGCGGAACACATCTGCAAGCCGGAAAGGATGGTGTCAGTCCTCAAGGTCACAGGACAGGCGGTACAGGACATAGCTTACCCCGATATTCATGAGCAGTAGGACGCGCCTGCGAGACGCGTATTCCCCAACTCACGTGGAGCGCGTCCACGTCTTTCGAGTCGAGGGTCGCGACTATGACTAAGCTTCGGCTCGCCAAACGGCCCTTGGAGCGATGCAGAGCGAGCCAAAGCTGACTCAGCCAGATCTGAGCCGAAGGTCAGATTGAGCTACAGCATACGTATTCTGGCACTCAGCCACATACATTATATGGTATATTCGGATTTTCTGATTCAAAACGTGTCTACTACGGGAGCGCAGAAAGCAGCGAAGTGCAAGCGAAGTGGGCGACGGAGGCAAGGAACGTTCGAGAATGCTGTGCGCTGCGACGTCAGCGCGACGCGTCTTGGGCCAGCCAGCCAAATCCAATCAGGTTGCCGGAATGACTCTGGCGTTTGTCAAGCGCCTGCTCCTTTGTTTAGTTGAGTGAGAGAGGCTGACGTTATAACGTACATAGATCGCGGGCGTACCAGAAACCTTTCTCCAGTCGTATTTTCATACGCATGTTGTCTATAAACCTGCATTCATTGCCGGGTGCAAAGCGCTCCACATGCCTCTCGCGACGCCTGCAGTCAACACGACAGCACTAGATACATGATAGATATGCATAATGATAGAAGACAGTCACTGTGGGAGCAAAAATACAACCCTTCACTCGCAACCCTCCCGCAACGCATACGACAACCGAGGAACAGCTTCGCAGACCGGCTTATTATTGGCTGCAGCTGTATTCAAATCGTCGAGCAGACGACAGACACGCTCATCGTCTTTCTCCACCACATCGTCGCTTGCCGCAACAGACACGAACGACCAGTCCTCCGCAAGCCGCCTGTCCGATCCGAATCGCTTCCGTTCCGGATCCGCGTCGATCGGCGGTGTAGGCGAGCGCGCTGATGGAGTCCCACCGACAATTGATGACCGTGAGGAAGTGCTTGTGGTGGCGGCTTTAGCGGTCAGAGCCGACGGCGACGGCGAACTGGCACGCAGTCGGTGCGACGATGCTGACGGAGTGTGCCCGAGGCCATGTGAGCGCTGTGAGCTCTGCGACGGCGGAGTGCTCGCGGATGCCTGCGAGCGCGACTGAGACGCGTAGTAGACCGCAGCCTGCTCCGGTTTAGCAGCGCAAAGGTTCGCAAGGTACTTTCTCTTCTGGGAGGCGCGCAGTGATTCAGACCTTGGATCGGCGGATGCAGAGGACGATGCTGATGCGGATGAAAGGGATTTGCTGGCGGTCTGGGAACGCGGAGGAAGAGGGGCCGATGATGTGGTTGCGGGCGTAGTCGACGCGCGCGAAAGGGCCTTGGACGTGCGAAGTGTAGGAGAGATCGATCCATGATGAGCATGGGACCATGTGGGTTGGCGCTTGTTGGTCGGTGGCTTCGCAGGCACTGTGTTCTCTTCGTCACCAGAGGAAACGTAGATGACCTCCCGAGAATCTTCGATTTTTCTGCGTTTGGACGGCGACGGAACATTGCGCTTATAGTGCAGAGGTGCAGGACGAGCGTTTCGGTCGGTAGGTTGGTCATCAAGGTGAACTACGAAGTCACGGGAGACGGTATCCGGCACAGGTTCAGTCTCGTCGTCAGAGTTATTGACCCAGTCATCCCAGTTCTTGCCAGAGAAGCGCCCAGAACCTGCTTGGGGCTGTAATGAGAGAGAGAAAGGATCAAAAGCAGCCTCAGTCGAAGACGATGCCTCGATGCAACTCTTGAGTTCCGTCAGATCAGCATCCTGGCTCTCCTCGAGAGGGTGCGTCCGAGCACTTGCGGGAAGAAGAAAAGCTTCCATGGTCTGGGTCACGCCCTCCCTATCTTGAGAGTCGTTATCGTCGTCAACTGGAAACCTATCGACAAAGGCTTGGAGGTGTCCGCGTATGGCTATCTGGCTTTCTCCAGTCCCGGTCGAAGTTAAGGGTAGCTTTCCGAGTATCTTGCGCACGATAGACCTTTCGTGGCCGCTCAGATGTTGCTCCATACACTCATACGCCTCTTGCAGACTTTCTTGAACCGCCCAGCGGTTCGCAAGCTCATCTGCTCCTTCGCCAGTGAGATTCAGTAGTGCAGCGTCGCGAGATTCGTGTGCACGACAGGGGTTTGAGGTGATGGATGAGAACCGAGAGAGCGGCGTCTGGAGAGGCGCAACATGATCTGTAAGGCATTGGGAGTTTGATCGAGCGAGACAGTCTTTGAACATGTTGTCGATGGCGCGCATGCACAGAACCTTGATGTCACCTTCGCCATAGACAGTATTAGGAACAATCTTCTTTGGGCGAAAGAGTTGCGCAAAAGAGCGAAGTTCGGGAAGCGTAGAGTGGCGGCCGATAGATACCAACTACGATGCTATTAGATGCAGAACACGGCGCATAAAAGCGTTTGCCTTACGAGCGATGTGACTTCCTCTCCTCGGCGAAGTTGCGCTTCCGTCTCTTGTAAGTATTGAGTCCACTTTTCGCCACCGAAGGAGACGGGGTTGATGTAGATGACCGGATTGCCGTCAAAGTCGAAGTTGGGCGCGTGTTCGCAGCGATTGAAGCGCTCGCAAGCATGGAAACGCGTTGAGGCCGACTTCCGTGTGATGGACCGGTGGAGCTCATCGTCGTCGACACTCATAAACACCTTGTACTTGTATCTGTCCACGTGCACCTACGAGGAGATCAGCAGTGCCCGTCGTGCGTGAGATGAAGGGCGAACCTTGCACTGGAAAGACCGAGCTACGGCCTTTATGATATCTTCATATCCCCATGTCCAGGCGTTGATGAAGAAAGTAGTGGTATCGGGCATGAGTTTCATCAGGCGTAGAAGTCCGGCGGTACCTTCCACCTATAGATGTTGTGGATGAGTCTCTGTGTCGCATGTACGATGATCCAAACGAGCCTTGGTCGTGAGCTTCGTCTCAGAGAGAACGCAAGCAGTATCAAGATGTATGCATTCAAGAGGTACTCTTTCCCCGTCATAGCGCAGAGTCGAACGTGCAGCGGCTTCTGGTGAGAGGTACCTCTGCATCGCAGGGTGGTTCTCCATGGCCGTCAAAAACCACGGCTCGACACGAAAGTCGCCAGTATGCAGAATGGCGCCGCGGGGGCCTTCAATGAGAAACCTGGAGAAACTGTCAGGCAGTCAACTTGGGTGATCTGCACGTATTCCCTTACATGACTGCACCGGGACAGTGGTTGGCGTCAATAGGCGTCACCGTCACCGTCTCGTTATTCGATAGGGAGATGTCCGTTGGTCGGTCTATCTCGAGGGGACGCTATGCATGGGCTTGAGCGGCCGAACATGTTCACAACGCATGCATATTCTCACCATCAGATCTCTACTTCCAGCCCAGTACACCTTTCCCGCAACGGTCGCCGGATCCCTCTTCAGATGTCCGAACGACCTTGGCTTCCGATAATCCCCCTTCAATGCGCCATCTCGGAATAAGCGCTCCTTGAGTGGTTCGTGGTTGAGAAGCATTTGCTTTGCGTCCTTCGAGCATACGAGCGGCGAGGCGAAGGACTTGTTGGTTAAGCCCTGAATATGGTCCGAGTGTGTATGCGAGAGCATATACAGGTGGGTAGCGTCCCCCTCGCACTCGGAGAAGTCGTCGATGCGGATATTGTCGTAAGGGGTGGCGTAACCGCCTGGAATCGCCCCGTCAGGCATCGTCCACCACTGTTTGTTCCGCTTGACCCGAAATCGTAGGAGCTTGGCTTTGTCTAGTAGTGGTGCTGAAGGGAAGCGTGCTGGCGGTAGAAAGCAAGGGCAGTTCGGCGCGGCTCGTGTCCTGGCGCGTCGTTTTCGCGTCAGACAATTGACGCGCTCACGTGTTCGAGGGAACCACATCACTGTGATCGCATTGATAGCTTGCGTCTCGCAAACGGCGTTGGAGCAACGGCTTCGAGTGACGCAGGGTGTTCATTCTCTATGCGATACATATGAAGCGAGCCCTTTCGGAGAAGACATGGTCAAGCGTGTAGAGGTATAACTGACACCATGTCCGATATCAGATTCCACCACATCGTCTCCCTCCTTAATGCCTCGACGTCCGATAGCCTCAAGGTCTTCAATGCAAATCCCGCATCCCTCCTTTCGGCGAGCATTCCCAGCAGCTGTGCTCCAAGCGCACCTTTGGCACCCAGACCGTCCTGCTCAAAGTGCGCATCAATCAGTATGAGCTCGTTCAAGCGAGGGAAGAGCGGCTCCATTCCGCGTGGAACTGCCTCAAGCGCGCTGACTAGGCAATGCGCGGCTATCGTCCCTTCGGCATATATGCGCTCGACAGATGTCCAAGAGGAGAAGCAGTGCCGTAGGAAGAGAGGGGAGATGGGCGCGTAGTGAGTGCGCGCTGCGAAACGCAACTCGCGGATGGTACGCGCGGCGGATGCCACGGATGTAAACGCCGCGGTGCAGTCATCGAGGAAAGCGTGGTCATTGTAACCGCCTCTGAGATCGTTACTCCATAGGACTTGGAGTTCGCGATCGTAATCTGTGCCCAACAACCTTGTAGGTTTGGGAGACGGGGCCTTGTGGGATAGGCGCATGGTCCACGTATCGCGGACGATTTGCACCGGCGTTAATAGCTTGATAGGGTTTGCAGATGAGGCTCTGTGATGATGAAAGCTGGCCCAAGCAACGTCTGGACTGGGCTTGTCATCGTCGATAACATAGCTAGCACGCGAGAGCTGAGCGAAAAATGCTTCCGAAGACCGCGGAGTCGCGGAAGTCATGAACCTGACACGCGTTCTGACGAGGGCGGGGGACGGAAGGCGAAGTATGTTGAGGAAAGACATAATGAAACCCTTCTCTCCTTCGAGATACAACTCCTTGCAAGAACGCACTACGACAGGGATCTCTGACTCCAGCTCTTGAGCAATGTCGCTCTCGAGTTCCGACAGATGGATGAGTTGTAAGGTTTCGAGGAATCTTAGAGAGCGTAGACTCGCAAGTAGTGCAGGCAAGACGCCTGGCGGTACACGAAGATCAGAGAGCGATATCATGCGTAAGTTGGCGTAGATGGACAGGGTCCAGTCAACAGAGTCTAGGCAGCATGACACAGTGAGCCTCTTCAGGCAATGCGCTCCAAGCGACGTAGCTATATCGGTTTTACCCGTCGTCACAGGGCTATTCAATAGGGGCCAGACAGAATGACGTTGGTGTGCCGATACGTCCAAGGTCTCTAGTGATGAAAGTGGACGCGACGCGACTTCGGGTCCAATGATATGTATGGTATTGATATTGATGCTGAGGTCGCTGATGCGGTCAAATGCGGACTGGAGGGTGCGAAGGAAGGCAGGGGATCTCCCGGTGCTGATGGGAATCTGTCCTAAGCGCGTGTCATGAAACCAGAGGTGCATATCCTGGAGTTTTATTCCCAGGCTCTGGCTCCGCTTGAGAAACGCTTTCGTACAATCGAGCGGCATTGGGTCATAAATGTATGTCCAGAACGATGGACGAGCGACGATGATGTTCCTCCAATGCGAGGAGACGAAAGTTAGATTGACCCATCCTAGGCGCCTGTTGCTTGATCGCACACGCGCTTGGGCACACCCTGCGCACGAGGGATTGCGGGGACCAGTACGGGTTGAGTACATCATTGGAACCGGTCCTCTTCGAGTACATGCGCGGCACTGGTCATCGCGCATCCAGATGGCAAAAGGCCAGACGTCAACAACACTTTTGAAGATGAGCTCCAGCACGTCCTCGGGTAGCTCGTTCACGTGCATCTCGATCTCTGTATTTCTGCATATGAGGTCAGTTCTCGATGAGTGTAAAGCCTACTATCAGATCGGTTTACCAAAGAAGTCTTCACGAAAGACCTTCACACTACTGGCAGACGGATGTCAACGAAATGGCTATCGGGTAGTGATGGTAAGAGTCAAGCATGCTGACGTTCCACGCGTCAGACGCGTTCCTCGGAGTCGCTTGTGGGCGACCATGAGCCTGTTCCGGTCTCTATATTTGTGCAGTCTGCCGTATAACCTTTCATGTGTTGACAAATGTCTATACGTATGCCCCAGCATAGAAGGAACCTCTATATTTATCGTTGAGCCCAAGCTGCAAGGCTTGCCGGACTTTCGCACCAGGGATCCCCGAACGTGCTGATTATCTCGCGTCCCCCCGTCACCAGTCGAACCAGGTTTCCTGATTGCCCCGGCGGTCAAGCGCGCTTGCGCGATCGCGCGTACTCATGCAAGCGTGATGCTGACAGATCGAGCGGCAATGCAACCCGTGTATGGTATAAGAAGATGGGTTCGCGATAGCGCTGCGGTTCTATCGCCCGGGCGCCTTGATCCTGACCACTACACCTCGATCCTAGTACAGCTCCAACGATGTCTGACCTCCCTGCCTTCAAAGACGAGACCCGCACGTCCTACACCACGCCTCCGAACCCCGGTTGGAAGATCGGTCAGAAGGTCGACGCGACGCCTGAGGGAAGGGCATGGCTCGAGGGCGAGAAGGCCGGGTGGAAATTCCTCGACACGAAGGAGGCTTCTCCCATGTACGCACTTCTGCCATCGACAATGGTATTGATATTGAATGTGTACATGTTACTACAGTGATCTGTACAAGCTCTTCGTGAGCGGCGTTGTCCCCCGACCCATCGCCTTCGTCTCCTCCGAAGCCGAGAACGGCACGCAGAACCTCGCCCCATTCAGCTGGTTCAACACCGTCACATCCAACCCTCCCACCATCTCCGTCTCCGTCGTGAATATGGGCAAGCCCTACAAGGACACAGCGGCCAACATCCGCGCCACGAAGCAGTTCGTGGTGAACATTATCTCCGAGCCGTTCGTGCAGAACGCGAATGCGACTTCCATCGATACACCACCGGAGGTCAGCGAGTGGGCATTGAGCGGTCTGACGCAGGCGCCGAGCGTACGTCCTTGCCGACTTGCCGTTCCGGGACTTTGCTGATGGTGATGGGTCTATAGAAATTCGTTAAGCCGCCGCGCGTGAAGGAGTCTGCATTTGCCATGGAGTGTGAAGTCTACGAGATCGTGGACATCAAGAACCCCGACACGGGCGTCGCAACAACCACGTTCGTGATCGGCCTTGTCAAGGGTGTACACATCCGCCAGGACGTGCTCTCGCAAGATGGCAGCACGATTGACATCAGCAAGTTCCAGGCCGTCGGACGCTTAGGCGACATCAGCTACGGTCGCATCGGCGAGGCGTTCCGAATTGGACGCCCGAGCTACGAGGAGAACAAGGAGCTCATCGACGGACTCGCCAAGGGGTCCGCATAGATTCTCATTTGGGATACGATAGTGTATAACAGAATTTGTATAGAGTAAAAATTGCACATCTGTGACATAAGAACCTGGAGAGATGGTCAGCGATGGGTGCAAGGATTTTGGGGCGAGCAGGAAGGGGAGGCGTCTCAGCAAGAAATTTGGGTCATTCCCGGGGTCTCACGCCCGAGTCGTACTCATTAAAATCAGTATAAGTTTGGAATCATCGACGCAGCAGATGGTATAGGGTGCACTGGCAAGAAAGGAAACACACACCTTATCAGGAAACCCTCTACGACCAGTCGATGAACGTGGAAGGACGAAGGAGAGCTTGAGGAAAGCGAAACACGCGAGAAAAATCTTCGGTCCCGCGCCTCGTTGATCCGGAGTCGGCCGGTGTGCTTGCGGCGCCGCGCTGCCTGTCACTGCTTTCTGAACGTCCACCACGTCCAGTGTATTCTTACCTGTCTTCTCGCTGCTGGAATACGAACAATTGCATGCACAGATGAACCTAGTCCTGCATGATATATCCCGTTCATGTACCAAGGCTTTGATGAGTTGCCTGGCGCTCTTGTCACCGGCGCTAAAGCACGGTCTCAAAGGGCTTCTACTCTCCAATCATGCCTTTCGCCTCGTGTTGTAGGGGCATGATCAGACCCCGTTCGGGTGGAGGGCTAAAGACAAAGGCGGAAATTCGGCTCCCAGAGTCTGCGGCCTTTCGAGACTCTACCTTGACCCTCACCCTCCCCTTGCGTGCCACCTACTGAAACTCAGGCTATACGTGTACGCGATGGGAGACTTTGCTCAGTCGACCAGTGTGGTCGATAGTCTACGCTCCATAATCAATCAATACCCTCACGGCGTTGGCACGTTCAGGGAGTTGCTCCAAAACTCGGACGACGCTGGCGCAAGCGAACAGGTATGTTGCCACTCCATGCATCTGCGTGCCACTTTCTCAATACAGTTTCAGGTCTTCGTCTTGGACCGACGCGTTCACCCGGCTGGAACGGGCTTCGATGCTGGACCGGCCTTTCTCGCTTACAACAATGCTCTAGTGACGGACAACGACTGGGTTGGATTACAGAAGATCAACAGCTCGCCAAAGAGAATGGATACTGAGTGAGTTACTCGTGTTAATTCTAGACATCGTCTTCACTATCGCTACAGGAAGACTGGGAAGTACGGCTTGGGATTCCGCTCGACCTTTCATGTGCGCAACTTATTCATTCGGAGACGTCCATATAACATCGTACTAATGTTCTCCTCAGATAACGGACACACCGGAGATCTTGTCTGGTCGTTATTTGGCGACCTTCGACCCGCTGAAGCGCATACTGGCGACAGAAGGGACCAGACGCGACTTCATTGGAGATGCAACATTGGCTCCTCACCTCAATGTCTTCCGCGCTGCGCTCGATTCGACTCACGATGACTTCTCGAAACCTCTGGATACCACCATTATTCGCCTACCTTTGAGGACTGATCCTTACAGCGAGCTCGCGCCACGCGTCGTCACATCTCACGAGATCCATGGCCTCCTGGAGGAGTTCATCCGCGAAGAGATTGGCACTGTCATGCTTTTCCTACGCCACCTCTCGTCAATCGTTGTGAAGGAAGTTGATGAACGCGGCGTCGCCACTGTCCTTGCTACAGCCACGCTTCAGCGATCCAACTCAATGGTCGCCCACGACGCGCGGGGACACGAGATCGAGGTCGAAGTCGTACCCCAAGGCGTTCAGCGGCGCACGACGAGGTGGCTTGTCGTCAGCCGCTCGGACGACCTGACGCCCTACGCTGCGGAGGTCTCTCGAAGGGTGGGAAATGATGTCGCCACAATGCTTACGCGCGAGAAGCTTGTGCCCGACATCGCGCTTGCTGTTCCTATCGCCGGTGGCGAGCATGTACAACAACACCTGGGCCGGCTTTACACTTTCTTGCCCTTGCCTATCACAACGGGGTTCCCGTGCCTCATCAACGCTTCCTTCTCGCTTACCCCGGATCGACAATCGCTGCGTAATGCGGAGGAGCACGCGGCAGAGGGATCAAGTCACCAGTAATGCGTCTTCTTGTACATCTCTAAGCTTCTCGCTGACATGAACGTCATACAGTGTCCTCGTTGAGTGGAACAAGCTTTTATTTTCAAAGGCATTGCCCACAGCTTGGGCGGCGTTGCTGAGCATGGGCGCGGACCGTGGGATGGACGTCTACTCGTTATGGCCGGGCTCCTACTCTGCCGAGGCTCACGGACAAGCCGTCTACTGGAACAAGGTACCTGTGATACTTGCGACGGAGGTGCATGAACGTGCACTCCCCATTTGGCCACGCCTTCTCCCCAACTCTACCACGCCGGCGAAGATTGCCCTATCCGCCGAGGTTCTCGTTGTCGACGAACTAGCGGCCGGGCTACATCTCACCGTCTTCTCTGAAGTTGGCGTGAAAGTCTGTCGGATCCCCGCTCGCATACAGTACATCCTCGCTGCTGCTCGCTGCCCTGTCACAGTGTTGTCGCCGTCGTCTGCGCATCCCATCCTCGTACGTGTTATATCTTATCACATGTTGAAGCTGCATCTCATGTGGCACCTTAGTCGTCGCATATAGCTTCGATCGAGGCGCTTCCCCGTACTACAGAGGGTGACATATTTCGGGGCGCGATCATCGACTATCAGCTCCTGGCGCTCTCCCTTCAGTATATCGTCAATCTCCCACTCATAGTTGCCGGCGACACGTACATCGCCCTTGAGCGCTCCTCGACAGTAGCGTGCTTCATCTTCGGCGATGCGCAGGCCCAGCTCTTCCGGGGTGTTGTCGCGCTACATTCCCGCGTGAGCGACATCCCCTCGCCGCTACTGCAACTTCTTCACAAGAATGGCCCTTGGAACATTGCACGACCTGGCGCTGCTGATATAAAAGCCTTCGTCGAGCGCGTCATTGCCCAGAATGCGCCTAATCTGGTTACATGGAGCGGCCAGTTCTGGAGTTGGTTGTCGTCCCTTCCTCAACACGACCGCACGGAGCACTTCAATGCAGTCTGGAACACCCCGATTCTGCCGACATCGAATGGCGTATGGCAAGCACCCAGCGCTGGCGTCTATCCTGTTACGCCTGAAGTTGAACGTACTGAGCTACGGGGTCTCCTAGAAGGTTGTGGGTTAGCCTTCCTTCATCCAAGCATTCAGCCTGGCACTCTCAGTCCCTTCAATTGCCTTTGGTCTATACGGAACGCCAAGGATCTGATCAACCAACTCGCACGGAGACCGAACGTACTCAGCGCAGCGTCGGATGATGCTCTTGAGCAATTACACACCATGCTCGGAGATGTCCTAGCTACGTACCGGTTCTCGCACCCGGTCTCGAACGCGTTGCGCGGCCTCCCCATCTTCCCTGCACTCTCTACTGGGCTTGCCGTCGATCATACATCCAGACAAGCCATCGCCGGCAATGCCCAGATCTACGTGGTCCAGGATGATATCCCTCTGCCTGACATCGCGAGGGTGTGCTTCTTACCCAAGACACTCCCTCGCGCCCTCATTCGGGCTTTGAATGCGGATGATACGCCCCTTTCAATTGCCAGCGTGCTTGTACTTGCCTTGGACAACTTCGACGCGCAGACGCCCGACGTGCAGGCAGCGTTCGTCAAGCGCATCTGCGAAGACGCAGAATCCTTGCCGCGTCTCATGACAACCAAGTTGAGCTCCTTGCGCTTCGTGCTGGTCGCGAATGGGCGGACCTATGCACGACCAGGCGATGTGATCGATCCGAACTCGAAGATCAACGGCCTACTTGAGTCGAGCAGTGAACGCGTTGCATTCACGACCACTATCGCGGGGCGCGACATGATCGGCAGCCTCTCACAGCTCGGCCTCCTCACCAAGTCCCTCACTCCCGCCATTGCGTGCGAGTGCATCGCGCGTATCTCCTCTTCCGCCGATTCCGTCCTTGCAGCACGGCTCTTCTCCTTGATGAACGTCACGCATTTCGACGCGTCCTCTCTTGGGTTCGACCCGGCAGCCCGATGGATTCCTTGTGAAGATGGACGGTTATATGCCGTTGGTGAATGTCGAGATGACAGTCGGGAGATGCTGCAAGGGCGTGCGCTCTTCGACCGCGTGCTCTCCGTCGCCACCACTACCGTCGTATCCCCATCTCTTCGCCGGTGCTTCGGCTGGGATGTTGCGATCCCGCTCCACGTGCTGAAGCGCCAATTCGCCGCGTGTGTCGCAGAGGAACCTACTCAGCCGGCAGTTCTACAAGTTTTGGTTCAGGCTCTGGCATCTAGATCCCTCGCCAGTGGAGATCTGCGAGAGTTACAGTCTGCATCGGTCGGTAGGCACTGGGTGCCTGTGGACAATGATGAATGTTCCTCGACGCCATTCGCCGTATTTGAACTCCACGGTCCACTCTCGCCCTTCCGTAAGATCCAATCACGGTCAAAACTAGTGCGCTCCTTCCTACAAAAGATGGGGTGCTCTGAGAGGTACGTCTGCGAGTCCTTTATCGTGTGATATTTCTGACAATATTCTCTCAAGGCCACAGCTAGGGGCTATCTTACAGGTGCTGCAAATGCTGCATACTTCGGAGACCGCCTTCAAACCCAGTCATGTCGTTGCCCTCTTGCAAGCCTTGGACGTGAAGAGTCTCGATTCGCAAACCACATCGTGTCTCCCCATACCTACCGACGGCGGCGAACTCCATGCTTGCTCTGAAGTCTATTACAACGATCTTGGGTCGCGCGCCTACCTCGTCCAGCTGCCCAATGCCGCCCATCGTGCTCATGCTTGCGTCACTCTCGACCTCGCTCACTCTCTGGCGATGAAGGACCTGTCATCGTTGGGGATGGAGGACGATGATGAGGAAGATATGGGCGAGGCTTTGTCGACACGCATTGCCAACGTCCTTCGCCAATATAATCAAGATCAAATGCCAACAGAGTTCTTGGCCAATGCTGTCGATGCGGGCGCTTCGGCCGTCTCTTTCATGATTGACGAGGTCGACTTCTCGGACGCGGCGGATCGACTCATCGTGCCTTCTTTAGCACAGCTTCAGGCGCCAGGCGCCCTGGTGATCCACAACGACGCTTGTTTTTCCGACAACGACTGGAAGGGCATTAGACGCGTAGGGCAGGGTAGTAAACGCAATCAGCCTGGTAACATAGGCAGATTCGGTCTTGGCGCACTTGCCGCGTACCACTTTTCGGAGGTGAGTTGGACGTTGTAACGCATGCGACGTAAAAGTGACTGTCTCTTCCATAGGCTACGATGATCATATCCGGCGAGTACTTCCTCTTGCTGGATCCCTCAAGGCGCTTCCTAGGGAGACGCGCTTCGCGTCGCGTCAAGCTTCGTGATATGAGAATGTACGATCAGTATCTCATGTACTGATATTAAACCCGAGACTTATCACTGCACAGTTTGTTCCCCGACCAGCTCGTGCCTTTCGTTGGACTGCATGGGTTCGAGGCAGATACCGTCGATTACCATGGCGTAAGTCCCTCGAACGAACCATTGTATTGACCGGGATTTGCTAATACAGCCCGCGCTTCAGACCCTATTCAGGCTTCCGCTGCGCTCGCGCGTCCAGGCTCAGACAAGCGAACTTTCTACGAACATCATGAGCGTAGAAGCTGCTTATGACTTGCTCGTACGACAAGAGACTCGCGTCAAGCTCGCCGTGCTCTTCAATGCCCGGTTAAACGATATGACTGCCGCTGTGCGCTCTTCGCACCAATCCGGAACCTTGAAGGTTGGGCGTATCTGGCATCTTCACGTCTCAAGAGACATCATTGATTCCGACGATCACACATTACCGAGCGCTGGGCACTCCGAAGTCACGATAACGTCCACTTTAAACGGCACCGCGGAGACATGGAGAATAGGACTACATCCATTTTCCAAAAGCCTCGTACCGAATTCGTTCCATCCGCTGTTCGAGAAGTACTTGCTACCTGACACGCTATCTGTTGGCGTCGCGTTGCCGAGGCAGGCACAAGCTCCTTCACAAGCATGCTCCCTCTTCTCACACCTCCCCCTTCCCATCACGACAACCCTCTCCTTCCATGTTCACGCATCGTTCATCTTGGCCGAAGATCGACGCAGCATACGCTTGGACGACACTTCTTTCGCGAACTCCGAGTCCGCCTACAACCGATATCTCCTCTCCTCTCTGGTCCCGAACTTGTATCTGTCGGTCCTTCATCATTGGCCCACGTCAAGCCGAGCTGGAGACTCGCTGGCAAGCAGCCGCTTCTGGCCGTCACCACACGGCGATAGGATCTCTCAGCTCATCGTTGACCCTCTCTACAGGACGGCCGGCGAGGACAGTCGTGCCATCTGCGAGAGCGTGACGGGCGCGCGAGTCGCGCCGTCCGACGCGATCTTCACCGGTGGGCTGCATGGGGAAGTCGTTCGGGGCTTAGAGCTCCTCCAACCGCCGAACCTCGTCACCAAACCAGCCACTGCCCTCGAACGCACGTCTATAAGGCGTCTGGATGCGGGCACTGCTCGTGTGTACGTGTCGCAATCCGAGAGTCGGCTCTCCCAACTATACGCCGAGGGGCAGATCACCATTCCGCAACTACTTGCTCTAATCCGCTTCATATTGGGCAACGATCAGTTTGGAGGCAGTCTGAATGATCTCCGCCTTCTTCCCCTCGCCGACGGCTCTCTCGTGCAGTTCCGTCAGCAACCAAAGTGGGGCTCCCAATCTTTGGACGATGCCGTGTTCATGCTGCCTAGCAACGCTTCGTCTGCTCGTGAGAGACTTTTCGCAGCGTCACGCTTCGTGCACCCTGACGCCAGCGATGAGCTCCGGTTGGCCCTTCCGCATAGCATCTTGCAAGTCAAGCCTTTCAATGACGACGCACTCGCATACTTAGTAGGACTATGGCTCCAGCCAGCGCCCGAGGCCATCTTAACCGAACAAACATCTCGCTGGGTACACAACTTGTGGACCCTCTTCTCGTCCCTTCATTCGCAGGTAGAGCTGCACAAGGATCTACGTGTCCTGCCACTAGTATCCGTTTCAGGTCAACAACACCGGCACATATCTGTCGCAAGCTGTGGCGGAACCAGCACGCTGCTCGCTACCTCATCCACCCCGCCCAACGTGGTTGATGCGCTGTCCGCCATGGGCGCCTCGTTCATCGACAAGGAGCGGCTTCCCAGTGCCCTTCGCGCGCGCGAACCCGTTAGGTCCATGACGTTCTCTTTCTCGTCTGTTCTACAGTTCTTGGAACGGCACCTTCGGAGTATGACGGAGATCAGTGCCGCGCAGGCGGCTGTTCTACGGGCGTGGATCCGCGCTCAGGTCAGGTCGAGCCACAAGCTACCTCCGGAAGACATACGCATCGCGCTCCTGCTTCCACTCTTCCCTGTGCGCAATAGCCAGGAGTTCGCCGCGGCCAATAACGTCCAAATGCTTCCGCCGGGTGTCCACATCGAGGACGTTCTTCCCCTCACACTCTCCTCGGATAGAATCACGCCGTACGATGTGAGCCTAGCCAACATGTTCAAGATCACGTCCATGTCCTTCGACATCTTGGGCCACATGCTCTCGAACGCTCGGCGCCTTGGCCAGGTCATCAACCGTCCTCAAGTCGTGGCTTTGGCGAACCTACTACGGACGATCCTCAGCATCCCAAGGGCCATCCAGGAGATGCGTCAGACGCTGCAGGTACCGAACACGCATGGCGTTTATGTGCGGCCCGACACTCTGTACTCGCGCGGTGTAGCTATGTTTGTCTCCGCTTTCGACGTCGAGGGTCGTCGCCCAGACGTATTCGTGCACACATTGCTGGCCGAGTTCGATCCGCGGCTGGACGCATTCGGGATGCGCGTCGTCGAGAACGCCGATACGTTCAGGCAGTGTGCCCTGGCTATCCAGGACGCGACCGATGAGTCGAAATCGGAGAGTGCGCGCGTGGTGTACGAGTACTACCGCGATAGGTTGCCCTGGGTACGAGGCGTTCATTGGGAACACTACGACGCTATCAGGTTCATTCCCCGTGCGATAGAACGCAGGCCGAACGTTCCCGCATTCAACGCATACGCGCGAGAATTTCCGGAGATTGTGTCTCCTGGGCAGCTTCTGCGTGCCGATCTTGCCTCCATCGCCTGGACGCAGCGGGCGCTATTCGAGTCGGAACCATCTCCCAGATTAGCAGTGGAGAACGCCGCTTTGGGAGTTCCTACAGCGGAGGAGGTGGTGAGTGCCCTGCCATCCATACCTTTCCCACAGTCACTCACAAGCTACGACCAGGTTGCACATATACGTGTACTAAGCGGTATTCCAGGAGATCTTGACAACCGCGCGGTAATTGCGAAAGACGTCAAGGCGTCTTACAAGTTCCTCCAAGACCGCATTGCCGATCTTTCCGACGCTACGAAGCAAGAGCTCAAGCGCGGTAACCTCTTCCTCAACGTCGACAACCACCTCACCGAATGGGCATGGTGCTCTGCTGCGGACCTCATCCTCAACGCGAGCGATGACGGGCCGACATATAAGAGGGCGCGCGCCAGCCTCAAGAACTACTCGAAGCTCTTACGCGCGCTAGGAGTGCATATGCTGGATGCTGTGAACAAGCCGACGATACAAGTAACTGGTATTGAAGGCGAGCTGAAGAGGCTGCGAGGAGGGTTCGATGCGAAGCGCCGTGCGGAGATCGGTATTGACGTTGTCTTCATCGACACGGACGAGGTTCCCGGAAGGCATCCGGCTCACAAGATATTCCTATCCGCGTGCGCGTCATACTTCGACGGTCTATTCTACCAGGCTGGTATGCGCGAGTCCGTCGTCAATGGCTTTGCACCGGTCGAGGTGGAGGTTCAGACTAGTGGCGGAGCTCTTCGACGTTGTCTTGGTAAGCTCCTCTTCGATACAGGTCCGATATAGGGCGTGCAGCTCATTTCTGTCTTCTAGACTACATGTACACTGGCAACTTTGCACCCATAGAACGCGAAGACCTGCAGATCCTTCTAGACATGCTTGCCCAGGCGGACTACTGGAGCCTCGACGACTTGAAGGCGACCGTGCAGGGCGATCTGGTCGTTCATCTCTCGCCGAGGGTGTACGAAGACGGTAAGCCACTTTCGCAAGGATGATTATTGATGACATGTATTCTGATCCATTGCGACAGTTCGAGGATATGCTGAGAGGTACAACGCGGATATCTTGCTTAGGAGCTGTGACGAGTGGGAGGCGAAGAATAGGGACGCTTTGCGACGAGGTGTGGATAGGTCGGAAGACTGAATCGTAAGGCTGGGCTGCGGCTAGCGTGAACATGTATAGAATGACTCGCGTTTCATCATTGTACACGTCTCATATAGACTCTTGTGTTCTCATATATCATTGTGCTTTCATTTATCCATGCTGTCCAAGATTGTGCAGGTGGTAGACGACGAGCAAGCGCAATGCCGTCGGTGCGCGTCGTTGGGCGATAGCCTTCGGACCGGAAACGCGGTCACGCGCATGTTGGACTTGTCTCATATTGGGCCGGATTCAGACCGCGACCGTAACCACGACCCGGCTACACCTTCAAGACCTTTCACCACCAGCCATGTCGCAAACACCAGGCCCGACTAAATTACCCCGCACGATGCCCTTCACGCCGAAGCGGCCCTTATCTGCCATGTCCGGCTCGTCCGACTCATCTACCTCAACAATACGTCCGAACACCATCATACCTGCTTCCGGGCTGCCCTCGGCTAAGAAGTATAAGGCGGCGCTATCGAGCGACGCACGGCCGAGGTCGGCTATGAAGGTCAGGCCGCCTTCGCTTGCTGTCGTACCGGGCTCCCCGTCGCATGGACGGCCAAAGACGCCAACTACGCCCAGGTTAGGGCGCGAGAGTCCCGGTTTGGGACTGGATATGCCCAGCGAGATGGACGTGTCGCGCGTAGACCCAGAGGAGGTGCTGGTGGACTACCAGAATATGGATGTTGGAGATATTAGTATTGAAGTCGACGAAACCGGCGGAGAGGTTATCGACCACGGTAGCCAGGACAAGGTCCAGGTGTCTATCCGGTACGTTACATCTTTGCCCATCAGGCGTTTACAGTCACTTATAACCATATAGTATTCGTCCATCAAATCAACAGAGCGCATGGGATACACAGATGCGCGGAAGGGACAAGATGATCAAGCTATTGCCACAACACCAGAAGAACACTGGCACGGTGGCTCAGGAGTTCAACTTCGACGAAATTCTGACTGGGTCTGAGAATAAGCCCGTCTACGACGCCGTCGCACGGAGCCATGTTAAGGCTGCTATGGAGGGTTATAATGCTGTATGCTTTGCGTATGGTCAGACGGCTAGTGGAAAGACGTTCACTTTGGTTCGTATACCTCATCCCATTTGCCTATGTACACGGACTGATGAAAGTGTCCAGTCTGGAGATGACGAGCAACCAGGTATCATTCCTCGCGCCCTCAAAGACGTCTTCAAGTACATCCGCCGTACACCATCTCGCGAATACCTCCTCCGAGTATCCTACCTTGAGATCTACAACGAAACGATTCACGATCTCCTCGCCCCACCCGCAACCCGCGCCTCGCAACCCGTCCAAATCCAAGGCTCAGGCAATAACGTCTGGTTGGCCCCTCTGCGTGAAGAAGTCGTCACCAGTCTCAAGGGTGTGCATGCCGTTCTGGAACGCGGATGGGCTGCACGTCGTACTGCCACGACAGATTGGAACGAACGATCCAGCCGCTCGCACTCCGTCTTCCGCGTCGTTATCGAGTCTCGCGAACGCGGCGACACGTCTGGTGGACGACAAACGCCTGGTCCTGGTCCTTCAAGGCCACCCACGCCTGGTGGACCGCGTCTGCAGAGCATTGGTGGACGGAGCGTACAGACAAGTGTGCTTAGCTTGATCGATCTTGCTGGCAGCGAGAGGGCCACGAGCGACAAGGAGCGGACGAAGGAGGGCAAGTATATCAATACGAGCCTGCTCACTCTCGGAAGCGTCATCAGCACATTGGCGGAGAACGCAGCTAAGGGGAAGAAGTAAGCCTCTGTATTTTCTGTCAAACCTCTCCCTATGCTAATGAGCATCTGCAGTGACTATGTTCCCTTCCGCAACTCAAAGCTTACCCGCATGCTTCAACCTTCACTCTCAGGCGACGCCCGCATCTCCGTAATCTGCACTCTCAATCCGGACTCAAGCGCCGTATCCGAAACAACCTCCACCCTCCTCTTCGCTTCACGGATCAAGAAGGTTGCCCTGCATGCACAGAAAAAAGAAGTCGTTGACACCGAAGCGTTGCTCGAGCGCTACCGCCAAGAGATCGAGGATCTGAAGGCGAAGTTGGCTGAGCGCGAGGAGCCGAAGCCTGCTGGTCTTAAACGGCGGTTGTCGGCAAGGGAACAGCAAGACGAGTCGAAGGCTATGCATGATATCAACGCTCGTATCAAGCAGCTCTCCAACCTCATCCTCACCTCTCAAGCGCTCGACGCGCGCGGAGAAGGCGGAGAGGGTGACAGCCGACCGGCAAGTCCAGCCAAGGTCGACTTCGATGCCAGTCCATATCAACTCCGTCAAGAGCTCCTCGCTGCACGACGCGAGCTCGAAACTCAGGCCACACAGATTCTCTCGCTTGAGGCGGCGTTGCTCGCTCGTCCAGAGTTGCCTCCTGACGCTCCGGAGTCTGACAAAGACCGCCTGCTCGCAGACCAAGCGCGTACAATCCGCGAGCTCGAGATCGCCGTACGAGGGTACGAGGAAAATCTCGGTGCACCCTTGCGTCAAGTCCGGGAAGACGTCGAGAAGGAGTGGTCGGGCAAAGTCGAGGCTGAAGCAAAGAAGGTTCGAGAGAAGGAGGCGTGGGCCGAGGAGCTAGTCAAGCAACTTGAGAAGGAGAAGAAGGTCCGCGTGCAGCTCGAGGAGGAGAGGAGGGTGCTCGCTGCGTTCGTCTCTAAGTTCGACTCGCTTACGGGTCTGGGCACTGGTGCGCCGCCGGTTAAGGCTGCGGCACCTGGTCCTGTGGCGAGCTTCGCGAAGCGCAATGCTGGTCTCGGAACGATTGAGGAGTCTCCGTTACGCGGCGCTACCGGTGTCGGCGAGCCGAGCTTGTTGGAGGAGAACCTCACATTCGATGGGCTAGACGACGAGAGCTTCGAGGTTCTCGATCGCCCGATGATGACGCCCGCGAAGAAGACGTCGAGCTCGAGCGTGTTTGGAAAGAGGAAGGAGAATCTGCCGGCGTGAGCTCCGGTATGGATGGACCATGGAGTGATCTAGGTGTTCTTGAGTGGCTCGCTGGCGGGTCGCGGTGTGGCTATGTCGATCGCTGTCGTTGTTTGCTGTGTTCTTTTCATGTTGTACACCACGCACATACCATCTATCATGTCTTTACAGTATTATAGGATCCATGTCTTTCTGTTCTCTGAAGAGCGCGCAGCGTGTTGCATTACTGACTACAGGAGCCCATGAGCCATTCACTCTAGTGTAGAATGGGAAGTCCTCGAGCGGAGTTCTGATTAGTGACACAAGTCAAGCGTACAGCGAATGATAGCATGTCAAAGCGAAAGAATACAACTACAGTAACCCAGCGTACATCCACAAGTCCCCATTGCACCTCACGCGCCACCAGACTCCCTCTCCATCTTCCGTCTCTTCCGCTCCTGGTCCTCCAATATCAAGCGCTCAGCGGCAGTCATCTCCGTCGCCTTCCGCTTGGTACCAGCTGCTTCTGCCGGTGGCGTCGTCTTTGTTGTAGCGGCAGCTTGCTTGAAGACGTTAGGTCGTTTCAAAGGGTTCGCGGCCGGTTTGAGCGGATTCAGCTTCAGACCAGCCGTTGTTGCGGTGGGTCCGGCTGTCGATGCAGCAGGCTTGGCGCCGAAGGTAATTGTAACCTTCTTATCCTCTTCCCGCTTCAGACCCTCTTCCCTCGCAGCCTCAACAGCACTTGACGAGCCCTCTCCTTTCTCTTCGGCTTCTGCCGCCGCGCGCTGAATCTGCTCCTGGATAAGCTGCCGCTCGCGCTGCTCGTCCGACGTCGTCAGCCGTTCCTTCTTCATCGACGCCTCCTGCTTCGCTAGCGCTTTGGGACTGTTGTCGATCCATGCTATGAACCAGCCCTTCTCCGTCTCGTCTACGTGTGCGACACCTGTACGGCCGAGATGTTTGACGAATTCGGTAAGGGTGACCCAGCGCGTGGCGTTCATGTGTAAATGTGACTTGTCCTGGATGTATTCCTGATAGACATTGTTCGCTCGTACACGCTTCGTCCCCCATCTAGACAAACATCAGATATACTCTCATGGTTGATTGTATAGTTACGTACCTCCGTGACAATAAAGTGACAAACTCCGACTGAAACTGGCCAGAGAAATCCGAGATATGCTTCCCAGCATTCTCGCCAACCACGAGCATCTGCCGCAGATGTGACTCGGAGGAAGAGTGCATCTTAAATGCGTTCTCATCTCGGCATTGTTTCTGACAGATCTGGCAGTACCATCGGAGCCTTTGAAGTCCCTTGGACTTCATCCGGTTGGCGATATCCTTCGGTGTTCCGGCTATTTGAAACGTTAGTCGTTAAGGGGTGGTTCTGAACGCGATAGGGCGTACCTTCGGCGCGCGGCATGTTGGAAAATTAGATGGAGATACGGTAAGAGGGGAGGCCAAGGGGAGCGACTGCGAGAGGAAATGGGAGCTTGGAGCAAGCGCGCGCTCGAGCTCAGCTCGCGGATCGCGCTTGGCTGAGTCAGCAACGTGAATGGCTGCCGGTTCCCACGCATGGGTCTATCAATTCCGCACAAAATAGCTTCCCAGCCGGTAAAGGTACAGGTCGTGACTAAACTATACAACATAAAATTACAGCCATACATCCGATTGCGTACAAAGAGTGAGTAGATCATCTGCACCCGCCCTATGCGACGCAGAGCTCGAGGCAGGATGCTAAGATGCTCGTAGGGGCACTAGGAGTCCAAGGTCCAGTTGTTTTCCTTCACGATGCGCTCTCGCTCCAGGAGGTACTTTCCTGATCGCTCTATCAATCGATGTGTGGGAGGAGTCAAGATCCGAAGCGCACCCTCTTTGTACTTCTGCGAGTGATCGGAGGCCTTGTGATAGTGCCAACCAACGCGGTCGCCACAGCCGAGGCAGAAGACGTCCGCAACAGTATGCACGCCAGTACTAGCCAGATCGTCAGGTATAGCGATTGATACTCCCATTATGAATCGTGACTCACAGCAACGGCCTGTCTTCCTTCGGTCCGAGCTTCACATTCGTCGCAGAATGCATAAGACTACATCTCCGAGTAAGCGTACATTCACCGCGACGCTCAGCGAGACATACTATCCACGCCCATCCCTCCCAGAGAAAGCCTTGCTAATCAGCTCGTCTTGGAGAGCCTATTCGCACCGCAATCTTGTCAACGCAAATACCATTGGCATAGAACCCAGCATAGCGCACAATAACAGCTGAACAGTTCGCACACGAGAAACTGGGACGTCCGTCGTAGTCGTTCAAGATGGGAGCCATGATAGAGCGTTGCGCAACGCGTATCGCGCTGGTCAACATCAAAGCATGGGTATAGACAGCCTGGCGGCCTAAAGTGGTGGCTTGAGGTCAAGATGCTGCCACTGCGGTTCCGCCGGCATTTTTGATCCGCAATCAGGGATCGGGCCTCGGGTCAAAAAGGTCGAATACGCCCGCCGCCCTGGCTTCTCCGTGCGCGGGCGTCTTGCCTTCTTCCCCATGTTCGTTCGTCAATCAAAGCCGAATACAGTTATTACACGACACGTAGCAAGATAATGACATCCCATCCACAAGTCTGATACACTCTTCCCTAGCTGCAAGCACGTTCAATCAATCCTCCGACCTATCCACGCCTCTGAGCAAAACGTCCCTGTTCTTCTCCTCCCATTCAACACAGCTACGAAGCAAGATCGACGCCTTATAGCGTTCAGCGTACTCTCGAACTAGCAGCATGGGTTAGTCTGTGCTCTGGGTGTATGGCGGAAAAGGACACCTACTATCCCGATACACGTTGGGTGTAATATGCTCGACTAATTCTCCCTCGATGGTGGACTTCAAATCCTCGAAGTGCCAATATTCCGCAAGGTCAAGCATATCGAGTAGAATCTGCAAGTCCTCGTGCACGACCTCTGAGAACGCACCAGTGTACATGAAGTCTGCAGAGGTATCGGGATTAGTCACGGTGCCGTATCGTGAGTACAGAACGACTGACCAAGACAGCGCCGGAGGGCATCCCCACTAGCGTGGCTTTTCACCTCCAGCGGCTCATCTCCCAATGCGACAGATTCACGCATCCCAGCAGAGTAGAACTGATCCTCGAAGAACGATGCGCACGCAGAGAGGAAGATCTTGTGCGCCGGGTGCCGACTAGGCGTTTCGTCCGCGTCGATGAAGACTACATCAATGCCGATCTCCGCGCGGCGCTTCCTGTCGAAGCTGTCTTGCAGTCTACTCAGCTTGCCTTCCACGCCTGTAGTCTTGATCTCGGGCTTCTCGATCGACTCCACGGAATGCACTCCAAGAGCGCGCAGAAGTTTCGAGTAGTTCTTCAGGCTGCTCCGCACCATCTGGTAGTTCTCTCCGTCGTCTGTGGCGTGGAGGATGAGATTTGTCGCCGAGGACCATCTCCATTCGGTCTGGCTGTCAACATTCAGGAATAACATCCCGTGCTTGAGCACATGCTTGACAGTGGCGGACATGTCGGCGAGGTTCTCTTGGAGAAACTTGTAAGACGCCTTCACGTCCTTGGCAACCAACCCCTTCTCCTCGTGATCTGCCGGAATCGTACTCAAAACGCGTATGTGCGCGACCTGACCGTCAGTCTATGAGTTGTTACAGGCAGTGTATCAATGCCAAAACTCACCACTTCTTCTATCGTAGGCTTTCCCAAGGATGGATGCTCGCCGAGCAATCGCGCCGAAGGCTCTGCGTCGAACAAAGCCCGCTGAGTCCAAGCGGTAGCGGCAAACTCGGTCCGCAAAAGCTGGCGAGGAGAGACGACCCGAGGGAGCTCTCGCGCGTAACCGTCGAGCAAAAGAGAATTCCGTCTGCGTTCTGCCGCTCGCGGTATGAACTGTATGGTATCGAGCCTGATCCAATGGACGCCCTCAATACGAGGCACACGATCGCAATAGCACTCGTACACCACTCGTGCGCTATCCATCTTTGCATCATCGGTCACCTCCTGGACGAGTAACGCGCACTGTTCGAAGGCCTCGGCAGTGACTGTGGTGCACATGCCGAACGGTTCTAGTTGAGGATCAAGAGTTCCTGCCAGTGACGCGTCAAGAAATACGTCCGGGCGACGACCTTCGGTGTCAAACACGGAGACGAAGAGAGGGACTCGGCGTGAGAATAACGATTCTGGGCGCACGTAGATGCCGCGCGTATTCGGCACTTGCAGGGATCCTTTCATTTGTGTTATCGCTTCTGGCTTCCCCAGGATCGTCTGTAGCAATTTCTTCAGGGAAGCAAGTTGGACATTACTGATGGCCTGATCGGGGCGACGAGCGCTTTGACGAGCGCGTGCAAGAATTAGACCTAAAGCGCCGAAGGACATGGGCGTTATCTTGAGCGGGATGGCCAGGTTGAGATCGTACGGCGTAATCCTATCCGTATTCGAGGAAAGGGGAAGCACGTCGTCAATGCCGATACCCGATGGCAGCATCTGAACGCTGTTGGCTGCCGCGAACTCCTGCCCACCACGAACGCGGAAAAGCGGGAGAGTGAGTGCCGTGTGCACGTCCTGCGCAGAGAGTCTGCTACCCGCTCTGATCTGCGCGTCAATCCAGTCGCGTAGGACGGTCGTCTGTGTCGCACCCAACTCGCCGATGCGCCAGAGATGATGATCCAAGAACTGTAGGACAGAGGAAAAGGAGTATGTCATGGACTTGATCGGATCACGGGTCCTGAGTGCCGATGGCAGGTGCGTGGTATCAATGAACGATGCGCCCATGGTTGTGAGCGCGTCCAATAGAGCGACCGAGGTCACATTAGACGACGCCTTCAACAGCACGTTCGGTCTCCCGCAACTTGTGATCGATACATGACGGCCGGGTTGTCCTGATACTGGAACCAGAGGAAGATCGTAGAGGTCCTTGTGAAGCTCCTTAGGAGTGTGCACCAGGGCAAAAGACGCCCACAGCTTGTGAACCCACTCAGTATCATCACCAGACAAGATGGCCTCATGCGCGGGTCTCAAACGCGATCGCGCGAAGTACGCGAGGGCCTCATCGCTGAAAGGCATGACCTGTAAGGCGCTTCGGGGAAGCGCTTCGAGTAGCGGCCCACTCGCGTCGGGGTGCACGAATCGTGACGGCGGGAACAGCTGCTGACGAGCGAAGGTGGATGGCTTCGGGAGCATGAAGATGGCGTCGCGGACAGATGGGAGCATGTCGTGGCGGAAGGAAGAGAGGTTTCCATCGGCTAGTGGAAGCAGACGCAGGCTATCCAAGCGACTGCCAGATGGGTCTCCTTCTAGGATGAAGCGGACGAGGTCAAGTAACTGGGGGATAGAGATCTTCCTCGAGTTGTAGAGCTCATTGAGTCGCTCTTCAGCTTGTACGATAAACGTCCTGACGGCATCGGAGTCAACGCGCTGCAAGGCGGTGACAGGCTCGATTGCAGGGGGCTTTGTGACGAGGTTGGAGGGTCCGATGAGTTCCAATGCGCGTACGATGTTGCCAGACATACGGCTTCCTGTCAACTTGGCCGACGCCGGCGTGATGCGGGCACCGGTTGTGCTCTCACATACAGCGCGGCTGTCCTTGCTGACCATCTCATAGAGAGGTAGCACAACGACTCGTGAGACCTTATCTCCGCGTTGTGACGGCCAGAATCGTGCATTTGATAACGAATCCCCGGGATCGCCAGTTACGGGCCAGTGGTGCAAGACTGAGAGGTACAGATCTGGCACAATGGCAGTGAGAAGATGGCGATTGTATGCCGACTCAGAGCCGATGAAAGACGTGTCGTCAAAGCGGATGCTACGGCGATCCTCGGCCAAGATGAAGGATGCGTGGACGTGAAACGGTAGGGTCGTAGTGATGGGAAGAGGGAGATGTGAGAACAGAGAGTACGCCGACGAGGGCACTTGAGATTGCCTTGGCAACGCGACTCCCACCGAAAGCGTTTCTGGTAGCAAGTACTTTTCGAATAGGTCATGGAAAGAAGATGGGGTGTTGGACTTGAACAGCGTAAGCATGCCAGTTCTCCAGGTTTCTGTTGCCAGGTTCCCCTTGAGCAAAGACGTTATGGCGACTTCGCTGTGTTGAGCATTCGGCATGACCCGATCGTTGGTGTTGACGATGACCCTCGATACCTCGAGGGACCAGATTGGCGCAATCTCTGAAGAGCCCAGTTGATTCAACGACCGCACCGCCGCAGACAAGAATTCCAAGCGGGGATTGAAGAGGGCGGAGAGTTTCATGCTGCTCTTCTGCAGCTCGAGGAAGTCTTGTGCCGCCCGCACATTCATGACATTCTTGGAGAGTTCGCTCGTCTGCCCCTGCGAGTAGGAACGTAAAGGAAGTCTAAAGATGGTCTGAGTGGCAAGTAGGCGTCAGGGTCGAATTTAGGAATGACAGTGTCGAGAATCACGTACGCCTTGATAGTGAATGGTATCAGATTCGAATCCGTGCAGACCCACAAAAGGTATCAGCTGATCGGGAAAGAAGCTAGCGCTCTGATGTCAGTATCGCATGACAGTGCGAATGCGTGTACATACACATGCATGTCACTAAGTTTGAGGCGGCGAGAAGCGCGTTTGCCGAGGAACCGTCTCGAAGGGTCAAGTAGCAGAAAATACAATCCGGAGACGACCATGGTGACCTATGCGTTATTTGAGTTGGATGGCCTCGGCGGTACTAGGTTCTCAACTTACTTCAGACAGATGGTACGCAGCCAGTGCGCCAAGGCCAAATCTGCCAATGTTTCCAGGTAGGTCGCGTTTGCTGCCACGGCCGACGCGTCGGATACCTCTCCAGTCCTGCTCGCCGAACTCGGCGTCATTGTGTACCACCAGAGCACCCGCAACCTGGAGTTGAGCTAGGGAAGGAACAAGAAGCCGTTGAGATGCGTTGGAGAAGTCGGCTTCGTCTACTAAGAAAGACACGGACGTCGCTCCTGCGTCAATGGCGTTCGCCAAGAATTCCGTCGGCATCTGATCTTGACCATATTGACGAAGAACGTTCGAGATGCGCGTTGATAGGGCCTCGTCCATGTCTTCTTCTTCTCCCTCGTCCTCGTCTTGGATTCTTAATGAAGAAAGGTCCTTCAAGGACAACTTGCGAGCAAGACCGACACTGATGCTCTCATGAGCGCGGCGAGCTTCATCGGGCAATTGCACCAAAGAAGCTCCCAAGCCGAGGTCATTATAAAAGGTCAGCGAGCAAGGATGAAGACCGCCAACGTCTGTGGGGACTGGGAGTTGAGATACACTCAGAGGATTGAGGCTTGAGATGTCCACTGCCTCCAGGAGAGAACGAGCATGAGAGGGGTCAACGGGATCATGCGATGCATACATCTCCCGCAAGACTTGCATGATCGCTTCGGGAGAGGGCCTAGTTCGTAAGAACTGTTGTTAGATCGACGTGCCGGCGATGGCGAGCGTCAGCGTACCTTTCACAACATCCCATCCTTATGAGGAAGGTGCGCACGGTCTTGGTTTGAGAATGTATCTTGCGAAAGGGGAAAAGGGATCCGTCCAGATTCAGAACAGCGTGTATAGCCAGAGAGCACTCCTCATTCTCCACCGGTACCCATTGTCGGTCCTTCACTATCGCACGCAGGTTCGCGATTTCGGCCTCGTCTATACGTCGAGATGCAAGAACCTGTGTCAGAGCTTGTAGCGTGCCCGTCGGCACGGGTTCTTCCGCGATGCATGCGCTCAACTGTTGCTTCAGTAGCAAAAGCGGAATCTCTGTGTTCCATCCCAGGCGCAAGCGAAGGGGGGCAGACACGGGGGCGATGGCCACGGCAAGCACGCGATCAAAGAGAGCGCGCTGGTGCTGCTTTTTGCTGCTGTTATCCCGACATTCCGTGGGAGTGCAGAGTATACCGTCCTCGCAGGGTATCCATCGGGCTGAGGGCTCGAATTTGAGCGATGCCGCGTCAAAACCGCTCTCGTTTACTAGAGAGAAAAGCTGTGTCGCGAGGCTTTGATCGCGTGTGGTCGATATGTGCGTGATGCTCTCGGTGGCGATGGCAGGTGTAAGAGAATTGACGAAAAGCCCGATCCCCGAAAGAGCGCTGATGATATCACTCTCGACCTCATTTGTGGCCTGCGCGATACGTTCGCTGTTGGCGTCGAGAAGGCCGTTGATTGGCGAGCGTGGATCGACAATATCGCTGGGACGAGCGCACGACCTCCCGGCCGCGACCGGAACGAAAGGAATAGAGCTCAGCGCCGTCGTCATGGACCGCGGTAAAGACGCCACATTGTCATGAATCAGCTGCACGAAGGCTCCCTGCATGGCACGTGGCTGCTCCGCGAAACTGTCGAGGGCGATCTGCAAGACATCTGTAAGGTCGACATTGAAGATGTCTGTGCCGAGAGCGTGGGCCACGGAACGAGGAAGACTGTCCTGTAAGAAACAGATATCGCGAATACGCGGCAATGGACTATCCCCTGCGAACACGCGGATCTTGGCTCCAATCTCGATGGGTTGTCTGGAAGGGCGAGCCGGAGTGGTCCCTTGGGTGAGAACAGGGAAGATTGGCAGGGCGTGCAAAGCTTTATGAGCCTGTCCCGACAGCTTCGATGTCGCAAGAATGTCCCCGAGTAAGTCAAGCAACTTTTCTATCTCAAAATCGGAGGCTGTGCTCAGGACGCTACGCTGATCGGACAGCTGATCTAGCAAAGCTGGCGCCTCACGAAGAGAGCGCAGACAATCGAAAGACTTGAGGGTCCTGACGGGGATGTTTGCGTGAAGGAACGTCAGGCCGCAAGCCTCTAGCAGACTGCGCAGAGACAGGCGGTCGACTTCGGGTGGCAAGGCATATATTCCCGCAGAGGGCGCTTGTAGCTTCCCCGCAGAGGTCGCTAGGGTCGGGAGAGACGAGACAGCCGTGTAATGCTCCATGCGACTTGCTTTGGGAAGTGATGCAAGCCAGTTCCAGAAGGTGCTGCTCCAAGACGTCAAGTCACCGGAGTCGCATGCAATGATCTTTGCGACCAAGACTGCAATGTCGCGTGCAGAGGGCCGCGCTACGTTCCACGACTGAGAGTCACCGATGAGACTGACAAGCAGGGCCGGAAGAAGACGAGTGCGGGAATGCGGCGACGCCACTCTTGCAAAAAGCTCTCCTTGTATATCGTCGAAGATCAAGCACTTGGTATCTTGAGACTGACGAAGGGATATATAACCGTCATCCGCGACAATGAGCGGCAGGCCAACGATGTCCAAGAGCGATCTTGCTGACAGCAGATAATCGAGTATCCCTCGCCGGATAGAGGCATTATCGGGCTCAGAGGACAGCATGTCGAAAGACACGTCGGAGGAACGCTGCAGAAGTTAAAGATCAGAGATAGCAAGTATAGATGAATAAACTGCATACCAAGAGAGCGGCATGAGCGGAAGATGGAGTCAATGGAGTTGTCGGGCATCCAGCAGCAACGAGTATGCGCTGAATGTGGGATGAAATTCTGCACATGTGTACACCCATGCGAGCAAGGGAGTCGACGTATGGGCCTTTCTCTTGCGGCCCGACGATGAGGATCTCAGCGGTGAGTGCAATCCATTCTGAGTTCGTGGATCCGTGGGTAATGCGCGGCCAGATAGACATTGCGCGCGAGAACACCTCACGTGCGAGTATCACAGGCACCTGGTTCCAATACATAGCCTGACCGTGGACTTGAGCGGAGTAAGTTCCTGGCCATAGACTGTAGACGTTCATGCCGCGGTCGACACCGATGCGCAGCAGAGTGGACCACGCGATGGGCAAAGCTTGCGCGAAAATTATCTTGTTCCACTCCACAAGAACACTATAGAAGGGTGCGAGTGAGAATCAATCTCGTATTGGAGGAGAAGACGCCTACTGATGACTGGATTCTTCTGCCGCGGAGGTCTCCGCATTCAAGAGCGACTGACGATCAGGCGTGAGGGAGAAAGATGCGTTTATTAGGCACGGGAAGCCGGTAGTGATTGGTAAAGGCAGAAATGTGTAGAGTCGACCGAGATGTCGTTGAACATGGTGACCACCGACGACGGGGACGGCGAGCGCAACGTCGGGCACAAGCTTCTCGCTCGAGAGTAGAGTCCCCACGTCGTAACCTAAGCGCGCGGATAGTTGTGCAACATATGGTTGCAGATCGTCGCTGCAGCGAACTATAAGCCACGTTGTAGAGAGCTTTTTCTGGGCCGGGGTGACGATGTCCACGGTGACTTGCTCAGTCTGAGCATCATGGGCGATGATGGGTTCAGTCCTGCGAAGAGTCGCGCTGGCCAAGACGGAGACTGTGCCATGCTCATCAACTTCCTTCACGATGACGGTTGAGATGTGTCTCAGGAACAACATGACGGTGCTAATATCGTCGCGGATGAACTCGTCGAGGAGATTGCGAATCTCATTCGCCTTGACGATGCGCGGCGATAGCCCGCTGTGCACGTCAGACCTCAAGGGTAGTCGGATGACTGTCCCTTCGAAGGCTTTCCCTACGTCGGTCGATGGACCCAGTATGGCATTGAATGTTCCAAGGTGGGCGGTCAGGTTCTCATCTCCGATAAAGTCGCGCTTCGTGCCATCAGTATCAAGAACGCGCCTTAGCGGGTCGAAGGTTGCTAGATGACGGCCGGATAGTATCTCCGGGGTATCCGTAATCTAGAAGATACGTGTAAACATCACTATCATCTCACGGATAGAGAGCTGAGGATTCAGACACGCACATGAAAACAAGACCGAAATCCCAACCCGTATTTGCCGGTTTTTCTGGAGGGCCGTGGTTTTGTCAAGAAGGTTTTCCTTACTTGAAGAACATATACGGTGCGGCGTACCCTGAATCCGATCTTTTAGGAGAGCTGCTAATCTCTTGAAGCCCTGTCCAGTCATTCTCCGTGACCAGCGCGTCATTGAATGAAAGAAACGAGGGCCCGGTTTCAAAGCCTGCGCCAGGAGGATGACGCCGACGATCAAGGACAAATATCTAGAGCCTGTTAGCATTGCGCGTAAGCAAATCAGGGATTTGTTCACGGACCTGCTGGGTTGCCCCTGCGTCGTCGGAATTTTGCAGCAATTCTCTAAATGTGCCTACACCATGCGGATATTGTCGCAAGATAGAGCGTATGCTGGCGACTACGTTAGTAGATTGGGCGAACTTCTCGTCCGGCATCGCGTAATAGGTCGGTTATCGCTGAGGTGGCTGATGCAGAGGAGGCAACGTCGAGAGTGAGAGACAAAGTCAACGACGCCACGGCCTGCCCTAGCAGACGTATATGGCTGCATAGTGCCATCCTAGAATGGTCAAAGGGGGGCCTCATCAAAGGATCCTACAACACGAGGCGAGTGGCGGATGTAGAGAATGAACCAAAGAAGCCGGGTAGGCCGACTCAAGCGCCAGCAGCTCACTACGAGTATAGGCGGTGACACTGCTGAGGCACCAGTATGTGCCAGCTTCCAGACCTAACACTGTCATAGAGATCTTGATTTTTTGACGTCAAAAGAGGAGACCATCGTGGTAGAGCTTCAACTGACGCACTCGTGCACGTGCCACGCGCCGACAACGGCCGAGGGATCGGATCAACGAAATCAACGGGGAGCGGAAGGTGCGAGATGCTTTGCTTTCTCTACTCTCGTACGCGCTACTTATGTCACGATCTGAGACACTCATGGATGCAGTCGGCACTTAGCGTACGTGCTCTCTAGGCCCAGACCTGGAAACCCAACGGAATGCACGTCAACTAATGTCACGGTGACCGCACGCGTCGGTCACATCACGCCGCCGCGGCGGTTGGGGTGGTGGTCTCAGCGTCTCCGTGCAATATCACGATCAACTTCGAGTCTTCGACTGGAACGGTCATGGATATATGGATGCACCTCAAAGGAATTAGCAAGGCGAGCACCCCTATCATAAAGTACTACGTGACCTGTACACAAATTCCTTCAAATCTTCGAATTTTTTGGACTGTGCATCATGAATTTCGACCGGTGTTTGGCGAGTGCGAGTCCGGAGTGCGCCAATTCGCGACGCTGAACTTACCTCGCATTGAGCAAGTAGCACATGCCTCTAGGTAGGGCCGAAAGATAGCCTACCTTGTATGAGGCCGCTCCTGAGTCTGACCAGTCTCGAGGAATCGTGAGTGCGCAGACGGGATGCCGGCGAGTTCTGTGCACCATGGACTGATTTTGCTTCTGCCCGTAGACGGTACCTCTCTGACGGTCAAGCTCGTATCAAATGGTCTAGACAGAGTCTCGAGCTCAACCTTGTCAACGGGGTACCCCTCAGAACTCATAGGATTCACGCTGTAACCCACGTCGAGAAGTAGATCTTGGGTGAATATACCTGAATACGGAGGCCGCTCCATCGGATTGCAGCCGAAGGCCGTGCTAGGCAGCTCGAGCCCATGTTACCCCCAGTCTGGAACAGTAGATCTTGTCGTTTGCTCTTCGAGTGGCTGCATAAGGCAGGCGCTGTGTGAGGATGAACCACCGCAGCATCGACTGAGAAGAGGGAGTCTTCAGTGTTATAGGCACATAGATGGGGTACGGTATTTGTGCTGAACGTCACCATTCAACCATACTTACCTTGTAATAAGTATCGGCAAGTTCCCCTCGTCGGGACTCCAACTTGGTAACCTCAGGCTCAAACATGGCCTCACATTCGGGTCCGATATGGTCCGAGAACGCACAGGTCATCCAGCGGGCTGTGTTCGCGCGACGCGGCGGAGAAGGCGGCGAGGAAGAAGACGTCAGGAAGTGCGCCTGTATGCTGTACAAACCTAATTTGCGAGCTCGGACATTCAGAACTCGCAACATGCTGACTTGTACGTGTCCTTGTCGTGTCTCCATACTACGGGCTTACAACGACGGACAAATATCGGGCTTCTCTTCCGGCAACCCAGATAAACGTGCTGTTTTACGAGTAGAAGGTATGCGCTGGCCCCTTGTCGATGTAGAACAGCTGCCAGCCATCGAGAGTTCGCAGGCCACAGCAATAGAGAAGAGGGTTACTCGGCGATTGCTGCGGTTCCCAAGTGTTACTCGTGTCGTAAGTGGATCCTTCCTCGAATGCGTGTGGGGTGTAGCCTGAGACCAACCCCCAGAGCGCCCCAGAGCGGGGAGACTCGGTCGAGAGCAGCGCGAGCGCACATCGAAGATGGTTGCTTGCGACGATTGTCGCCGCCGGGCTGTACCGGATCGCAGTTGATAGAACCGAAATGCGCAACTTCACGCGGGGCTGGCGATATGTCCATGTTGTCGCATTGCATATCTGCCGGCATCTTGATGTTGCGGCGGAAGTGCATTTTTCTTCTGGGGTACGCGGATGCGCTGAAGTCTCAACCCTCTCGGACAGCTTGGAGGCTCGTGGAGCTCTGGAGGCTCGCACCAACTTTCTCTTCGATGGATCTCGGAGAAGGTATAGCAAGAAACACGTGTGTGACCGTCGACCGCCACAAAGGGGCAGCAGCTGTGGAAACATCGGCGCTGATGGCCGTACCCCGCATTAGATGCGGGGTTTGGCTACGACCGGTGTTTCCCCGTTTGCTCGAGCGGGGAGGTGTTGGTCTGCGCTGGCGTTGTCAAAACACTGTACGTCGTATCAGTAGAAGAGACGGCGGGAGAAAGCTAAAGACCTGCCGAGGGCGGAGGGAGATCTCATGCCGAATTTCGGCCCGCTTCGACATGTTTTCCGGGTCCGTCCTTCCGGGGCGCGCTTATCGCACGCAGGGGCCGCACCAGGAAACTAATCTTCAATCGCTCTACTCATTCACGTGGGGCAACTGCTCTCTTTCCTTGACCACCGTCATCTTCAACCACCACGAACCCGCACTCCTCAAGCGGTCATCCACCTACCATGGATGTCACCCAGCAGAGCGCCGAGGCCCCTAATTCGTCTACGCCACCTGCGCCATCCCAGCCTCAGGAGAAGTCGATACCTCGGCCCTACAAGTGCCCTTATCCTTTATGTGGGAGGGCTTTCTCCAGATTAGAGCACCAGGTAAGCGTCTGCTCCGTTTCCTTCGGCGACTCCTGGATATGCGATACTGTATATGGACTATTGTCCGCAGACTGGTCGAGCACGGTGGCCGTGGGCCAGCGCACCGTCCGCCCCGACTGGTCTGCAATCAGTGTCGGATGCTCTCTAGTGCGCTCGGCCCGCGCATGCATCCACGTTTGCGGCGTGCCCCTGTGTTCTTGTCGTCTTGTCATTGGGTTGATCGCGCATCGGGCCATCATATCGTCAGGGCGCAGTGCCTAAGTGACAGCGTGAATGGAACCATCCCGTGTTTCTTCGTGCTGATTTTCTATTCTTTGCAGACGCGCCATATCCGCACACATACGGGCGAAAAGCCGTTCCTCTGCACGTTCGCCGGCTGCGAAAAGCGCTTCAGTCGCTCGGACGAGCTCACTCGCCATGCTCGCATACACACCAATCACACCAACCATCATGCGCCGAGTACTGCCGCCAAGGGCAAAGCGCGGGCCAAAGCCCCAGCTCGCCGTCCCGCTGCGGCAAAACGTGCGAGTTCGGAGGATGTCGACATGAACGACGCGGATGCCGACGCGGAGAGCAACTCCTCAGACTCAGAGTCCGAGGACGATCGCCCAACAATTGCGCGCAAGTTTCATCGACGACGCCCGAGCGGCACTGTCGAACATGATCACACCAGTATGCGCGACCGCCGCAAAAAGGTGCGCAGCCGCGCAGGAAGCGACGACGATGACGTGCGTGATTCATTTCTGGTGCAATGAGTTACCCCTAACAGCATACGCCTGAAAATAGGATTATGTCCGGCCCCTACAGCAGCAGCCTGCTTTTGGAGCAGCGTACGGAGGGGCTGCGCCAGGCTTTGGCTATAGCGGTTACGCTGCGGCTCATGCACCGCCGTACGTTCCTGGACCGGATAGTACCTTGGCGGCGCTTTCCTCGCTCGCAACGACGGAACTTCACGCCATAGAACGAGAGGAAGCTCTACGCCGTGCCGAGTACGAGGTTCGCCACAGCGCTGCTCTTGCCCGTCAGCGCCATGCAGAAATACTTGCATCGTATGGACGACGTGCTCGTAGCGCCGCAACATCGCCTGTCGGAACGCCATATCTCGCCGGACCGACCGGATCGTCCTATTTCGATGTGTCTTTGCCTGAGGGCGGTCATGCCGTCGATGGCTCACGGCACCAGGCGCATGCGCACGGCCATTCTCATCCCTACGCTACTCCCGCGTACGGAGCCGGTCACCGCCCGCGTAGCATACACGAAGACTACGCACAACGTGACGAACCTGCCAGCGGTGCCAGCCTCCCTCGCCCTCGTAGCCTGCACGACCTCGCGCCAACAAGCCCGCAGCCAGCTGCCTTCTCTCATAGCCGCAGTCATCACGCCTTGAGTAGCCTCGCGTCGTCCTCTGCCAGTCACGGCCACTCGCACGGTTATCCTGGCCACTCACCTGTGTCGTCGACATTCCCCGCCCATGTCCACTCACCCGAATCCGAGCGCGCGTTCTCCCGCTCTGCGCGCACCGCCCCGACGTCTCCCTACTTCTCTGGTCTTGGCCTCGCGAGTCTCGCGATTCACAGTGGCGCACCCAGTCGTGCCCCGTCTCCGGGCCCCTTACTCCCGCCACCGCACGACGGTTCAAATATTGGGTCGACTGCAGGGATGGGCATCCAGCATGCGTACTCTCACTCGCGTAGTGGCGCGCCGCCTTCCCTACCGGCGCCACATGATGCGCATCCTGTTCAGACGCCTCAGTTATCTTCGGGACCCAGCAGCTCGGGCAGCAGCCCTAGCTTACCCCACTTGTCGCGACCTGCGTCGCCACCGGGCGCGCACAGTGCACCGGCGGGCATCCCCGTTGGATTAAGCGCCGGCGCACAGAAGCATCTTGCACACGGTGTCCGTGCCGCGTTCGGAATGACGCCCATTCACCCAGGACCTGGTGTCGCGCCTCATCACACCATTTCCGGTCTGCACTCCGCACCTGCCAACATCACACCTCTCAGCATGGCGCCCGTCGCCGGCGGGAGTCAGAGCAGGCGCAGCAGTATCCCGGGCAGCAGGGCGGGTAGTCCACCGATCAGGCTAGCGCCGCTCCATCTCATTGGCAACAGTGAGGATGATGCGAACGCAGCCGGTGAGGCGCGGCTTCCGGGGCTGAGCGAGCTTGTTGGGCGCTGATCTGGGCGCGGATGCCCATGCGAAAGACGAAAGCTTTTCGAAGTATTTATTGACTTTTTACCCCTTCCGCTTCACACTGGACGCTGATTCATCTCCGGCGTCGTTCCACTCCATCACGCTACATCTGCACACACACCGCTCCATAGATACATACTACGGACCTTGGACCGCGCTTAATTTGCCAGCCTCCTGCGACTGGGTTGTACTTTCATATACGCGCGACCACGACTGTTTGCCCGGACTTGCACCGTTCGCTTCCCCGGTTCTTCGTTGTTCATCTGGTTCACCTCGTCCTCCGTTACGATAGAAGTTTTGTCGTCCTGCTTGCTTGCTTAGTAGTTACATCACACCCCATCTCCCAGACTCAAATAGAAAATAGATACATCGCTGTCCCGTTCGTTCTCATCGTTGATATGGTCCTCAATTTGTATACAAGCCGACTTCGCTTTGTTGATGAAACTGCATATTTTTGGTTCCCTATCTTTCAACGTGTGGCCAAGAGCCCTCACAATGTTATCATACCGGCCGATCGACGGCCCTTCGTCCTTCTCATACCGATGTTGCGGAGTCTTGGGGATAATCATGGTTACAAGTAGAGCCAGTACCCATACAATAAGCTATGGAGTTTGGCAGACCACGCAGCCTCTACCATGGTAGGTAGAGCCAAGCGACCGCATCACTGCACGTTCAGGGTGGTGTTAACGACCTCGAGGAAAGGCGTGTTGTCAAGCTGGGTGAGTGCATCGTCAGCAGTCGACCCCAGTGAGCTCGCCAAGAGTCGGACGGGTACTTACGCCGATGAGAGATACGTGAAGAACGCTCAATTGAGACTTGCCAGCCAGGTAATCGGGAATGTTGACGGTAAAGTTCTCCTGAGGCTGATCCTGGGGCCTTGGATTGGCAGGGTACTGTGGGTCGTAAGGTCCGTTGTACAAGACCGACCAGCCAAGACCGTTAATCGGATCACTGCAAGCACCATCAGGGCCGTTGCAAGGTGAGATGGCGATAACGACGGCGACTTCTTCGGCCTGTGAAATGAAGTTCTACGAAGATGGGAAATATGAGCCGTATGAAAAGAGAGTAGTAGATCATGCGTACGGGGCGGTTGATCTGCACGGTCAGATCACCAGGAGAGATCGTGCTGCCCTCGGTGGGAGAACCGATGTTGATCCCCTGCGCGAAGGCGCTGGCGAGGAGAGCAGCGAGCATAACGAAGGATTTCATGATGGAGGACTCGGAGGCGGTTTGGTTAGAAGACTCGTCAGAGTTCGATTTGTTTGTGTTGCTGCCAGGAACTGTTGGTCTTTTATATAGGCTAGCAGAAGTAAGCTTCACGGAAGAGTGAGGCCGACTTATGTGAGGAGACCTGAGACCCCATACTACGCTCGCACAAAGGCCACCTCAGGCAGCGTTTGCGGACAGAGGATTCCGCTGGAGTTCGGAATGAGGGGACAACGGCTGTGAACACCAGCTGGTAGGAGACTGTAAAGTATTCGCCCCTTATGCGAGAGGTGTACTCTGAGATATGCCGTAGTCCGAGATGGTTTGTGAGCTATGAAGCGAGAGTTCTCTTGAGCATCGTCATCCAGAGCGTCAAGGGATATATTTCGAGGTACGACCTACCGCGCAAGAGCCGTATGGAGGACGGCATGGGACCATCATGTGGATGCACTACTGGGAGTGTTGTTCATCTACCAAACTGGGGTGTTTGACACGAAGATAGTATCACGATACAAGGCAGGGCAGCCTGAGGCAGTCTTGAACGGAAAGTGGCGGAACGGTCGAACACGAAACGCCGCTTATGCTAGGTCGCGGGTCGGACATAGCTGCAATTTCGACACCGTACGCGTAATATAGGTACTAGAAAGTGGGATCACGCTCGAACATGAAGGGTCCCGATGGCGGGGAGAAAGGCTATCTGAAGTGGTGGTGGTGGGGGTGTGACTGTGAGCGCGAGCGCCAATGTCGTCGCGAAGCCACGCGTTCGCTAGGCGCTGAAGCCGTTTGATCTTGACCGCGCTTGTCTCGCACGGCGACGACGACCGCATATCCCTGGCCAGAGAGCGTACCAGCTTTGGCTAATAGGACTGCCCGAGCCAACAATATTGTCGCTCTCCTCGGACACCACTCGGTCGAGGTCTCCGGGACGTCGAACTTCTGATTCCGAGCTCTGAGCCGCTCTCCTCGTGGCAATGGAAACTCCGGATCCCTATACGACTCTCGCTGTACCGGCACTGAGCGCGCTTTACCGCTCGTCGCTTATAGACTGCATGCCTCAATCAATTCCGCCAACATTTACGCACACTTGCGTCTCCTTCACATGATTAGATTTTTGAGAATCGTCATCGACGGCTTTAACGGCGCTGCGCACCTTGCCCTGATCTCGTCCAGCGGAGGCAAATGTACGGCCCGGCCCAACACTATAAGACCCGCTAGGCGAGAATGCCTCGCTTTTCACTGTCGCCGACGATGGCTTCCGCTCAAGCTGAACAACCGAGTGAGAAGCGCGGGCGGTCTGAACCCACTGCGACGATACCCTCCGGGTCTCGAGCGCGATGCCTACTGCTATGCGGCTCTGTTCTAGCCTTGCTAGGCGTTATCGTCTGTCTGAGATTACCCGGCTCTTTCTTGCCATTCGCTCTGCAATTTAAGGCCCTCGGTAGTGTTCATGAGGTTCACCTCTGTCCGCAAGCGACCGTGCTCTTCCCGGCGCGCCACAAAGAGGTATGGCAGGCAATGGCAGACAGGCTGAGCGATAAGGCCTTCGAAAAGGCAGCCATCGATTGGCTCGCTAACTCTATACGCATACCGTATGTTTCAACATCCATAGTATCTGCTAGGCTTTGACCCGCATGTTGTAGAACGGAGATCTTCGATGACATGGGATATATCGGTATAGATGAGCGCTGGCGCGTATTTGAGCCCTTCCACGATCATCTACGGCAAGCCTTTCCCAACGTGTACGTGCCATAGAGCCCCAAGTAGCTGGTGACGCTCACGTCAATAGCCACAAGCACCTTGAAAGGACTGTCGTCAACACGTACGGACTTATCTATGAGTGGAGGGGCTCAAACATATCTATGAGACCGCTTCTTCTCACTGCACACCAAGGTGGGTACCTCGCGTCATGAAGTTCAGGCGATTTAGCGCTCACGCGCATAACCAGATGTTGTTCCCGTCGAGCACAGCTCATTACATGACTGGACATTCCCTCCGTTCTCCGGCCACTTTGATGGTCAGATAGGCCACCATACGATATACACAAACGCTGATCATTACCCTACAGGCGAGAGCATTTGGGGACGTGGCTCGTTAGACGATAAAAATGGCCTTATCGGCGCCCTGTGAGCAAATCCAGCAGCGCATGCCCCTCTCAACTGCTTGAATCCGGTTGCAGGATTGCCATAGAAGAGCTTATCAGAGCTGGCTTTGAGCCCACACGCTCGGTAGTGCTTGCGTTCGGCTTTGACGAGGAAGTTAGCACGGGCCAGGTATGATGGTCCCTTATTCATCACGGTCACAGATGACAGAGTACCTTGATAGGGAGCACCATCTCTGGCGCCCGTCTTAGAGCGGATGTATGGCCGTCACGGATACGCCATGATAGTCGATGAAGGTGGTGAGCTTATTCCATGCTTCGAGTGCGAATTCAGGATCTCTCACGCACACGACACCCGTAGATCCATTCAGTGAACAGTTTGGCTCTGTATTTGCTACGCCTGCAGTCGCAGAGAAAGGCTATGCAGATGTGCGTTTCACAGTGAACACACCTGGCGGGCACTCAAGCCTACCGCCGGATCATACGGTACGCCACAACAACTATCGTACTCGAAGTCAATCGTAGACACCTTCCTTTAGGCCATCGGGATACTCTCTCGCTTACTAGTGCATCTAGAGAATGAGCCCGTGCCCGCGAGTCTGAATCGCGAGACCCCACTGTACGGTGCCTTGCAGTGCTACGCCGCACATGGGAGTCATCTTCCTGAAGGACTCTCTGACGCCGTGCGCAAGTCAACAACGTCAGACCGTCATCTAAGGCAGGCGCAAAACATCGTTTTCCGCGATCCATATTGGAAGAGCTTGGCTTCGACGACGCAAGCGATTGATCTCATACAAGGTGGACACAAGGCGAATGCCTTGCCCGAATCCGCCTGGGCTATTGTCAATCATCGCATCGCGACCGACAGGTTCGCCCACGCAACGCGCTTTGTATGCATACATTCTGACACTGTGACTAGTTCTGGCCAGCAAACTCATGATGAGGATACCGCGCGCTTGATGGATTTAGCTAGAGCATTCAATCTATCCGTGCAAGCGTTTGGAGTGCACCATACACTTGAAGGATACCCAGAAGCAGGATCGCTCACAATTGCGGATGCGTGGGGCGGTAAACCCCTCGAACCTGCGCCAGTCACAAGAACAGACGCAGACGCAGGACCGTTTCAAATTCTCAGCGGGACAATCAGAGCCACCTATAGCTCACATCGTGAGTGGAACGTCCCACAGTCTGAAATTATCGTCGCACCCGGCATTCTAGGAGGCAACACAGGTAGACCAAGATCAACCGCGACTTCGTTAGACCGAACACTGATTGTCGGCATCGATAGACACGGGTGCTTACTGGAATCTGTCGACAGCTATCTTCCGTTATAATCACCATGGACCGAGTACCATCTCCGGTTTACATACAGTCAACGAGCGTCAGTGGACTCTCGCCGCTACGTCCGATGCAGTGCTGACGCTCCCGTAGATATTCTGGTGACGGACTTTTTGGAGATGATACGGTTCTTTACCATGCTCGTGCTCAACGTCGATGAAAGCTCGCTGTGATATACTGGACATCGCTTACTACTAATTAGTAATGATACGATGCGTACTCCGGAACTGCTATGACACTTCGAGCCTACCGGCCTTTGCGGCTAGTTCGTGGATAAGGCCACGGATGGGTTGATACCGATAGATGTAGCGTGGCAAGGTTCAATATCATGAGGAATTATTCCACTGCCATCCATGTGTCAAAGTCAAGGCGCAAAGTTCAACAAGGACAAAAATGATTCGACCCAGGCTCGAACTGGGGACCTTCTGTGTGTTAGACAGATGCGATAACCAACTACGCCATCGAACCATGCGGTGGTAATCTGCACAATCTACCATATTTGTTAGGCATTACAGCCTCCAGCACCGCACATGTTATTCCTCAGCGATCTTGTCCATAAGCACCCATGAACAAACTCAATGATGTTTCCATCGCCTGGCTCGTCACACGTCATGCCCAGCTTGCTGAGAAGATACAGCACGTATGCTTTGTAAGCGGTCGGCCATCTGACAGGCGGGTAGTGATGGGTACAGGGCGTCAACACCAGCCTCGGGCGTTTGTCATGACCTCCGATACTTGCCCGGTTTCACATCCCCATTCTGGGGCAAGCACCCTGATTGCGTCTTTCTCCCTCTACTTACAGGGACCCAAACTTCTTATGTGGCTCTTGTTTGGACGCCGCCTGTGACCATCCCTAGCTCTCAATTGCCCGAGCCCCTCAAAAGCTGGCGATCCTGCTCAGTAGGAAGCTCCGCGCCTTTTGCGTTTCTTCCGTATTCGTACTCCTCTCACACACAACCATGTCTTCCGCCTTACAAGGTTGGCATCCGGGCGAACTGGCTCTACAGCTCAAGCTCGGCTTTGCTGGGCCAATGACCTATGTTTGGTCTATGGTTGAAGATGAGCTACGAGAGCAGCACCAAGTCTTTCACACCACGCGTCTGCCCTTCATTCCTCTCACTACGCTGGACTCGGACGGGCGCCCATGGGCATGCATGCTTTCTGGCGCCAAGGGCGAGCCCGGCTTCGTCACTAGCCCGAATGTGCATAGCCTACGTATCAAGGTGCACTCTTGGGATGGTGACCCACTCATCGAGAACTTGCGCGTATGGCAGAACGTATCGCATACCAATCGCTTTTTAGTGGCCGGTCTAGGCATCGAGTTGCCGACTCGTCGCCGAAACAAGTTTGCCGGATCCCTCAACCCGGTGAAGACGAAGAAGACCGGGGAGTTCGAATATGATCTCCATCTCGATGTCAACCAGGCATTAGGGTAAGTCAATCTTCCGCATCCAAGGCATTACACAGAGCACTGATCCAGAACCGCTCTTTCAGCAACTGCCCCAAATACATCAACATACGCGAATTCGTACCACATCCAGACACGAATCCCTCCGTACTACACCGTGTACATCACATGGACCCAGATATGCGACTACCACACTCGGTCATCGACTTCATCCATCGATCTGACCAGTTATTCCTCGCTACGATCTACAGAGCGAAGGACAGGGACTCGTTGCAGTTCCCCTCGCATGCTGGACTGAACCATCGTGGTGGACTACCTGGCTTTGTACGCGTACGCCCTTCAGATGGCCGGTCCATCGTCATCCCGGACTACTCGGGCAACCGCTTCATGCAATCTCTGGGAAATATAGAGGCGACGCCGCTAGCAGGGTTGATGTTCTGTGACTTCATCACTGGGGACATGCTGTACATCACCGGCAGCGCTACCACACTTCTTGGCGAAGAGTCCTTGGATCTCATGCCACGCCAGCCTGTAGTCACGGTCATCGACCCCACGGGGTTCGTCTTCGTGCGAGATGCGCTCCCCGTGCGCCAAGCGCCGGGCACGAAGGTTATCCCGAGCCCTTACAGCCCGCCGATCAAGCTGCTGAGGGAGGAAAAGACCGGCGAGTCGTTTGACAGCGGCCTCATCAAAGCTCGCATCTCGAAAGTCGTGATCCACACGCACGACCTTGCCACTTTCTGGTTCGACACCGCGCCAGGTGCGCTGAAGTGCCGTCCCGGCCAGGCCGTTGCGCTTGATTTCTCCGATCTGCTCGGGAAGCCCGAGTACGCGCATATGGCTCCACTCGCGCCCTCATCCATCAACGACGACCGTGTACGCACCTGGACGGTATCGAGTGCCGGCGTAGACGACAACGGTCGTTTCGCGATGACGATGCGCGAGAAGCAGGGTGGAATGGTCACCGGGTGGCTTTTCTCCGTTATCCGCAAGATTGACGAGAAGAGACCGGAGGTGTTGGACGACATGACGCCGCTCTCCGTCGACGTGGGAGTGGTTGGCGTCGACGGCGACTTCGTCCTTCCCGAGCACGACCCGAAAGTGCTCTTCATCGCGGGCGGCATCGGCATCACTCCTTTCATGAGCATGCTCTCTGCTCTTTCGGCGCGCGGACCGGACGCCACCGGCGACGTCGTACTCGCGCTCGCTACCAGGGAGCCGCTTGTTATGCTGAAGCTCGTCCGCGCGTCCTTGACGGACATCGTTCCAGCTGGGGTACGCGTACATCTGGACATCTTCACAAACGCCAAAGTGCCCGCACTCGCGGGTCACGACTCCGCCTACGGTCCGGGACTCAGTGTGACCTATCATAAAGGTCGTATACCATCGGAGTACTGGAAGGACGTGTCGAGCGAGCGCGAGGTCATGATATGTGGGCCTGGCGGCTTCGCAGACAACGCCATCGAGGGTGTGCGGGCAGCTGGTGTACCGAACGAGAAGATACTTCGTGAGGGCTTTGCTTATTGACACCATTGTTGTATATTATACTCCTCACGGACTACCCGCACTTGTAAATGTATACCATCTTCCATCACACCGAGTTGAAAGGCCACGCTGGCGTTTTCTTAGCCTTGCTCAGCAATTGACAGGGAAGATCCTTAAGCCAGCCTTCGATGGCCAGGATATTACAGTCACAAAATCACCATCATAACACGCAGCACAGTACGGCTACGTCCGACAATGAGGCGCACAACAAAGATTATAAGCGAGCGGTAAGAAAAGTGTCCGAAGCAAAAGCAATGTCCTTCCGAGAAAGATGACGGATAGCCAAGTGAGGTCCGACGCGCTCAAACGTCTGTACGAGTACATGTCAGTATATACAGTCGCAGATGATATGGTTTGAAGACTCACCGATGACGAGACGAAGCGCCTTGGCCTCGCTGCATCCCTCGCCCGCACCAAGCAGCTCCTCGACATGCGCGACCTCGCCGAGCCTACGTCCGTACGGCGCCTCCCAGTACACGCACGAACGGACGTGCGCGGGGAGGTATCCCTGCGCGAAGACGTAGTTGGTGATGTGCGCGAGGCGGTCGTGGCAGATGGTGTGGTGGAGCGTGTCGAGCTTGATGCGCTGCGTCGCGTTGTGGGTGCGGGCGCTGTGGGTGTAGACGTACACCGCCGGCTGATCTCTTACTCAAATTGATGATGGAGCAGCACAATCAAATAAACCGTGGGATAGGCATCCGACCAACATCGAGTCCAACATTGGACGAACGTCGGGCGATAATTGAATATATTTATTCTTTGAGAACTATTATTTCGTCCCCAGTAAATCCGGCGCTTCCGGTAGCACAGCGGTCGTCCAGCCCTCCTCGTAGGGCTCGACAATCGTAGACAACACAGCTGGTACGAGATGTGCACGCATGACGGTATGCAATTATTGTAGCTACGATACATTGGGGTCTCCCGGGCATCCTTACAATATATACAGCTCGTCAAGAAATTACAGCTCCTCAAGGGATTATGGTACATAGCGTGATGCGTCGCAGAGATACTCTATCGTAGAAGGAAGGGGGGCAGTGGAGGGTGCACAGGCCAGCGAAACCGCGATAAGGATGGGGGATGGGAGTGGGCGCGGTGAGCTGGCAGCTTGTCAAGTAATAGTAATACCTCATGGTCTGCCGTACGAGATTAGAAGATGCAACATCATCGAGAACCTATACTACGTACCAAATGCGTAGCAAGCCCTTGAGTGTCCACCACAAGCGACGCCGGAGCGAAGGACGTCAAGGTGGTGAGAGGCGAGTGAAGTCGCGGCGCGACGCGAGCGACTTCTCCCACCCGCGAGTTCCCTCGCACCCCTCTTGGACTGGTTTCATTATGATAATCGAAATGCACACAGTCCTCGCAGGCGCACTAATCGTACTAGATAGCCAGCCCTTTTGTATTCTATCGTTTAAACGTGAGTCTGAGAAGCCTGGCTGTTTCACGTCGGCTCAGCTCATGAAAAACAGGACAGCTCCGACTTGGCAGAATTCGCGAAGACTTCCCCGAACGTAGACCGAACGTCGGCTTCGACATGCCTTGGATGTTGGGTCCTCGTTCGGGCCTCCAGGATCTGCGGAATGCTGGGGCCGAGAATGTGCGGATGTCGCCCACAGATATTTGATCAGACGTCGAATTGACATCTGCTCAGGTGCGATCACAGACCTGAGAAAAGTGTGCTGCTCCAGACCCGCGCAGATGTCAAATGTCACCCGGTGGTGTACCCATCTTGACACGTCAGAAGGACGATGATGGCATTGGTTGTCGAGGCCCACCCTCTTCCAACTTATTCGCAATATCTTCAGGTTTAGGTCTTGAACAGCCTAAACAGCGCCTGTTCCTGGCCTGCCGTGCTCGGAGCGATCCGGCGATGAGCGTCGAACTGCGTTCGATGTTCGACGATGGTCTTTCCCGGGATTTTGACGGGGACTGGGTGTATTGCAACAGATTGTAGGATGGAAAAGGTCAAAGTGACGGGCCATGCCACTTCTCGGCCCTATACGGACCCATATTATCAGAATAAAGTGGCTCAACGCGGTATAGTAAGCCAGAGTTCCATGCGCGCGCGCGCCAAAACGCGTCGTCATCGTCGAACATTGAAGCCAATGCTCAATAGCGCCCGGCCGCCGCTCCGAGCTGAATCCCTGACAGTTCAGGTCAGAGATAGTCTGCATGGCCTGTTTGATAGTCGGGCTGTGAGGATCATCACATACCTGCGCTGGCTACGTTCTGACGAGTTCACTCGCGGCATGCCTGCCGCCGCCCGCGGCAACGCACACCACTTGGCTTCGAGACCCGGGCGGATCCCGCTCGATCGACGACATCGACTTCTAAATAGACACGCCTTGAGCGCATTACAGCGCAGATCCTAGCTGAACGGGCTACTATACGATATGAGCACTAAAAAGCACCAATAACACGCGTTATTAGCGAGCTTACTCGTTGGCCCATGCGCCCATAACACCCTAGATGAAGGCACAGTGAGCCGCAAAAGACTTGAGAAGTCATGCAGAGTCACAGGCCGGGTTGACGTACTATTACACCTGCCCATACGACCCTGCGGATAGCCAGATCAGCCTGGGCAAGAGCATTGAAGCCCGCGAATGTGCGTGACGCGTGATGAATTATTAGCAACAGAACGCATTCTAGGGACTTTCTGGCATCCAAGAAAGAGGCTTCCCTGGCTGGGCTTCAGTATTGATAGTCAGTCGGTGGCACAAGCGCACCTACGTCGAGTATGTTGAGCAACTGCTGAGTAGATGTTCCTCGTAGCGTAGCACATCCTGCTCTGGAGTGCAGGCCGGTATCCAAGACTGTGTCGTGAGCAGATGACGTGCACTGCGGACGTTGAATTAACTTCATGAGCAGCATCTCAGAATGGGACTGACCGTGACCTCCTTGCCATCCTCCCGGGCCCTGAAAGGCCAAACAAGGCGCTGTGCAGCCGGCCCCCACGACGTTGTAAGCGGTGTACCGGCTTGAGGCAGTCCCCACCAGCGAATAAGCGCACGTATTGCCAACAGGAGATCCGTGGTATGAGATAGGGCAGCTGTGGAATGAGGATGGTCGTCTCGCCAGCACGGATTGGAACAAGGTCAACCAGAATCCAACGACGAGCTTGCAAGTTACCGGAATCCGCGGAAAATCTGCAGCCACCGTCCTCTCGTTGTGTCGCCGGTTGAACGAGCAATTTGTCTACAGCCTTCGTACATATTCCGCAATGCCTACGGCGGCGAAGACTCGATTCTAGAGCGATGAATGATGGCCGTCAAGAACAACTGCGACGCAGAGACAGACGAATCCCGAACGCCGCGCGCGTGCGCGCATCAAATGATCAATGATCCGTAAACAGCCGCGAGCCTGATGGAATTGTGCTCCGAGATGTCGCTCAACGCTCGTCTACTACCTCAGTCCACGTCCTCTCTGAGTCCTCCGCAACGCATGGGTCGCTCACTCGCCTGAAGGACCTCTTCGACGTCTGCATCACCCATGTAGTCCATGTAGAACGTGCATCAATTTCACGCAAGGCACGACCCGCCGAAGTTCCAAACAGTCCCAAACGAGAGACCTTCCTGTGGCCCTAACTTCCACCACTTGCGCGATCCTTGGACCACGTCCATTTGTTCGAAGTGGCAACGAGGCCCGCCTGAAACCACAGAAATAACACTTCGTGCTAAACCACTGCATTGGTTACCTGGGCCATGTGTGGCGTTATTGTCTGGAAACGAATATATACCGACAGCGGCGCTGCCGTTGGGTTGCCCATCCTACCCTCGTCTTATCCTCGTCTTCACCCCATAGTTCCAACGTTGCCTCTTGCTAAATCGCGATGGCTGCAACTCTCTTCCCCCTTGCCGCACCCCAAGGCCCTGAGCAGCCGCACTACGGTCCTGACCTCGCCGTCCGCCTCATC